TACGCCAGCCCGGCATAGCGACATCCGGCAATGTCATAAATCATAATAATATTGTGTTAAGTGATAACGCTTGATCCATGAGGAAGTGTACGAATAACAAAAACCGAAAACTTGTACTTGAGTAAAGGTATTTAAATACATCTTCATCAAATACGTTTTTAAATACTTATTTGTGGTATTGAATATTAGAGATATTTTTTTTTCTTAGCGGAACCATTAATCTTATTTCACATTTTTAAATACTTTATTGATGTCTTTTTGATTTACTATTACTTATTAGTCTCTCGTTATTATGCTAGTCTCCTTGATCGTAATTTTTATTTTAATCGTAAAAATTCTTCTTAATTTCCTTGTTTTAGTAAAATCTACAACATTTGTACATTTAATGATGCCAACGATTTTTTAGTGTAAAACTAATTCTTCAGTAGCTGTTATGTAGTTACTAATTTATCAATATATTATATTGATGATTTATAAATTATAATTCTGAACCATTCACACTACATTTCAGCAATACATTAGCATGATAAATTATGGTTGTTAAAAACAAACAATGGCTATTTGCCTATTTGACATATTTTTATGTAAAATCGAATACCTACACAAAATGGTCATTTTCATTTTTCAAGTAGGATGTTTGAAGATCATCCCAAATACGCATTAAAAGACGTAAAAATTTCTGAGGAATCGAATACAAAAATGCGCAAGACAACACGACTTTTTGATATTATAATACTCGTGCACACAGAGCATACACGTACCTATAGAATAACATACACATGAGTCGCATAATACCTATTCGGCGATAAGAAGAACTTGGCTCATTAGTCGTGTTTCTCGGGGACGTGTATGTGTGTACATGGTGAATATATATTGTGAATTATAATATTATTATACTTGTGGTGTCCTATAATACCTCTGTATCGTGTAAGGCGATGTTTTTTTCCTATTGCGCGGCGCAAAACTCTATCCAAGTCGTCTGAAACGCATAGCGCCGCGTCTTTGTTCCACGCGCGCGTTTATGTTAATCGTCACGTTCTCCGCCGCGCGAATTCGAACGGAGAAAAGAAATCGCGGTACCGTCCAATGGATATAAATACCATGCTCGATATACTACAATATTATTAGGTAGGTTCTATGTAATACTATAATAATGATAATAAAATTAATTTTAGTTTTTTTCAAAAATAAAATCCTTCAAGAGTGTATGCGCACCCGACTCTTGAGCAAAACGATAATAATATTATTATAACATTGTAGGCAAAAGCGTAAAACGCAAAATATAATATAATATTTGTATTCGCAATGACTTGTGTAAAAATAAAAATATATATTTAGCGTTTCGCGTGTGTTGGTGGATATATTGTTTTCATTTTGGTATTCTCGCCTCGTGCTCGCAAGTATCGAGACGGCAATTTTTTATTGTTGATGTCGCGCGTAATATAGGTACTATAATATTTGTTAAAATAAAATACCCAAACATACGATTAGTAGCTGAGATGATATTATTATAATTTATACATATGTACTTGAGCAGTGATGGCCGCAACAATTTTACATGTTATTGTAAATAAAATAAAAACTTTAACTAAACCGGCTTGAGAACATTTTTGTATTTTCTTTTCGATTTATTATTATCGAAATTTATCTACTGATTTTGCCCCGTGAAACGTTTTAAATTCTTTTTAATTTCTATGGTAGCAACGTAGTATAGGCAAGTGTTACGTATTATTAATAATTATATTATATAAAGGCTGAGATACAATGTTCTTATAAAAAATAATTTTAAAATTATGAAATTTCTTGTTTAAAATCAACAAATGATTTGATCATTAGTCACCGGTCGTCGTAATTTATTGACATTAAGGAACGTGTCTCATAGATTATTAATGAGTGTTTGACCAAAGTTTTACAGATAGCTGTTTTACGCTCACAAACGAGTTCTTTAGTTTATGTGTTTGTTTTATCATTAATAATTTAACTTATTGTCAGTAGTAGGTATTTACACAAATAAACGAAGTGGTTTTTTCTCCTAAAGTTATGCGCGCTTACTTATCATAACGTCATGATAATATTTTGCATAAAAAAAATTTTAAATAATTATTACACGTCATAGTAGGTAAATAATTATTATTGATAAACCATAGGTACCTGAACAAAAATGTGTGTGCTTATCAACAATTTTTCAACTTATAATTGTTTAAAAATAATTCCCTAAAGGCTTAAACTAATTTGTTACGATACAATTTAAAATATTTAATAATATAGTAGGTATATACTTTATTGATTGTATGTATTTAGGTTTATGCCTTTGAAATTCAGGTACTCGATTATTTTTTCAAAATTCCCCTGGTCTTTCATAATTTTCAACGCAAACTTATCCATGTTGTATATAATTGTTATCCATTTTCAATAATATTGGCTTTAGAGGACTTATTGTAATTTTAGTGTTACACAATACTTATCTTTTCAATCGAGGTGTTTATTCTTTCGTAATTTATGAATTTCTTTTTTAATTTAAAATTTGTAATTAAATTTCGATGCATGAAATCAGGTATTTACAAAATATACAACCAAACAGAGTAAACAATAAGTACATTTATGTTGACGTTTTTAAATATTGTGATTTTTCTAAAATATTTTAATATAGACATTAATTAATGTCATTACCTGTGTTCAGTAAAACCAATATTATAATATTAGATAAAAACCTCTTATTCATATTACACAAATAGAACCTGAACAACATTCGTCGAGTAAATTGTTATTTAAAAAAAAAAAACAACATTACGTAATTTACTTATTTATTTTATATTTAAAGCTCTACCTTTTTGTATTACTAAGTAGAAAAATCAATTTGTATTTTGCCAACTATTTACAAAATATTAATTTTTTTTTTTTTAATATGTTTCTCGATTTTAAAACTTGAATATTTATTTCTATAAAACCTTTCAAATCCCTAAAGTTGATTAAAATAGACCATAAAATCAAAAAAATTCATACATTATACATATTTACTTATTTATTTGTTTTCTTGTTCCATGTTTATGTTGGTTATTGGAAAATCACAGTCACCTGGTCCAGCTTTAGTTGTTGTAAGTATATACAGTTATATGCTTTTACATTTATCTAGATTCTAGTTTATTATATGAGTATATTTACCTATGTTTAATATTCAAATTTTTTTTAACTAAACTGTTATACATACAATTTATTATGTATTAAAATATTTACATTGCCTTACAAAAATGTTTGCACGCTTTCCATTCGGATTGATGATGTACTTATTTAACTAGTGTAATACTAATGTTAGTTATGAGGTGAGTGGAAACATATTTTTTAATACAATAAAAAAATACATATGTATGCTTTTTATTTTAGGGTTGAAACTAGAACACACTGTTGCAAGCTAATCCCATTTTAGAAGCCTTTGGTAATGCAAAAACTGTGAAAAATGACAATTCTTCTAGATTTGTGAGTTCTGTATAAAATTAATATGTTGATGACTCTAAATTGTTCTTAATTTTTATTTACAGGGTAAATTTATTCGTATTAATTTTGAGCCTCTGGTTGCATTGCTGGTGCTAACATTGAAACATACTTATTTGAAAAATCGCGAGCTATCGTCAAGCAAAAGATGAAAGGACATTCCATATTTTCTACCAATTATTATGTGGAGCAACTACTGAACAAAAATGTAAATTAATATACAATAAAATCGATTTAAGTTTATTTAGGTATTTGTATTTTATATTATTTTGTTTTTAGCCGAATTTATACTCGAGGACCCTAAAACTTATAGTTTCCTTACAAATGGTAATCTCCGTGTACCCGGTGTAGATGATGCTGCTGAGTTTAGAGAAACTGTTAATGCTATGAATATTATGGGAATGACAACAGAAGATTATTCTGGTATGTTAAATCACAATTTTTTGTTAAATGTAAACTTAATATGCATACATTTTTTTAGCTATTTTCCGAATTGTGAGTGCTGTCATGTTGTTTGGAAACATGCAGTTTAAACAAGAGCGCAATAGTGACCAAGCCACATTACCTGATAATACAGTAGCACAAAAAGTAGCTCATCTATTGGGATTGTCTATAACCGAAATGACTAAAGCTTTCCTTAGACCCCGTATAAAAGTAGGTAGAGACTATGTGTCCAAAGCCCAGACCAAGGAACAAGTGGAATTTGCTGTAGAAGCTATTTCTAAAGCATGTTATGAACGTATGTTCCGTTGGCTAGTTAACCGAATTAATCGATCTCTGGATAGATCTAAAAGACAAGGGGCATCATTCATTGGAATCTTGGATATGGCTGGATTTGAAATATTTGAAGTAATTTCTTTAATTACTATTTTGTTTTATTTTGGTCTAATTATTGAATATTTGTATTAATGTATTTTTATTAATTTAATAGTTGAACTCATTTGAACAACTGTGTATAAATTACACAAATGAAAAACTGCAACAACTATTCAACCATACCATGTTTATTTTAGAACAAGAAGAATATCAAAGAGAAGGTATTGAATGGAAATTCATTGATTTCGGATTGGATTTGCAACCCACTATTGATTTAATTGACAAAGTATATATTACAATACAGGTTCGAATTCAATTTTGCATAACTAATTTTTCTTGTATTTCATAGCCTATGGGTGTTATGGCCTTATTAGATGAAGAATGTTGGTTCCCAAAAGCTACTGATAAATCATTTGTAGAAAAACTCATGTCTGCCCAAAGTGTTCATCCCAAATTCCATAAAACAGACTTTAGAGGTGTTGCGGATTTCTCAATAATCCACTACGCTGGAAAAGTTGATTATTCTGCTCATAAGTGGCTTATGAAGAACATGGACCCATTGAATGAAAACATCGTTCAACTCCTTCAATCATCTCAAGATCCGTTTGTAGCTCATATCTGGAAGGATGCCGAAATTGTGGAATAGCTCATCAGCTCTCACTGATACACAGTTTGGAGCACGAACAAGAAAAGGAATGTTCCGTACAGTGTCACAATTATATAAAGAACAATTGAACAAGTTGATGATCACTTTGAGAAACACTAATCCTAATTTTGTAAGATGTATCATCCCAAATCATGAGAAAAGAGCCGGGAAATCGATGCCCAACTTGTGCTAGATCAACTGCGATGCAATGGAGTTTTGGAAGGAATTAGAATTTGTAGACAGGGTTTCCCCAATCGTATTCCATTCCAAGAGTTCAGACAACGATATGAGCTTCTTACATCAAATGCCATACCCAAAGGTTTCATGGATGGTAAAAAGGCTTGTGAAAAAATGATTAAAGCTCTTGAACTTGATTCAAATCTCTAAACCGTGTTTGGTCAGTCCAAAATATTCTTCAGAGCCGGTGTGTCTTGCCCTTTAGAAGAATAACTAGATTTCAAAATTTCCGACCTCATTGTTAACTTCCAAGTAAGTACTTTTTAAATTAATATCATTATAATATATTATATATTTAAAATTATTTAGTTTTACTATAAATCATATTTGGTTTTAGGCTTTCTGCAGAGGGTACTTAGCAAGAAGAAATTATCAAAAACGTCTACAACAATTAAATGCCATTCGTATCATTCAGCGCAATTGTTCAGCATATCTAAAACTGAGAAACTGGCAATGGTGGCGATTGTATACTAAAGTTAAACCACTTTTAGAAGTTACCAAACAAGAAGAAGTATTGTCCATTAAAGAAGAAGAATTGAAGGTAGTCAAGGAAAAATTAGATTCTCAACTGCGTGGTGTTCTTGATCTTGAGAAGAAGTATTATATTTAAAATTTTATTTAATAATTTATATTTCAGAATTTAAAATTTGATTTTTTACTGATAGATACCAAACAGCAGTGGATGAGAAAAATGCTTTGGCTGAACAACTGCAAGCAGAAGTTGAATTATGTGCTGAAGCTGAGGAAATGAGAGCTAGACTTGCTGCCAGAAAATTAGAACTAGAAGAAATACTACACGATTTAGAAGCTAGAATTGAAGAAGAAGAAGAGAGATCTAGTTCCCTAGCTCAAGATAAAAAGAAGTTACAAATAAACATAAATGTAAGTACCATTTACTGTTATTTAAATAATTCATTTAGATTTATTTTTTTACGTTTGAATAATTTTAGGATTTAGAAGAACAATTAGAAGAAGAAGAGGGTGCTAGACAGAAACTCCAATTAGAACGTGTACAGACTGACGCCAAACTTAAGAAACTAGAAGAAGATCTTGCACTTGCTGAAGATACCAATGCGAAACAAGTCAAAGAGAAAAAGGTGTTGGAAGATAGAGCTGCAGATTTGGCACAAACGTTAGCTGAAGAAGAAGAAAAAGCTAAACATCTAGCTAAACTAAAAGCAAAACATGAAGCATCCATTGCAGAATTAGAAGAACGCTTATTAAAAGATAATCAACAAAGACAGGAGATGGACCGTACTAAGCGTAAAGTTGAGACTGAAGTAAGCATACATCTAGCTTAAATATAGCATATATTATAATCTATAACAAACTAGAAATTCTTGTTTATACTATGTTTATACTATAAAAATATTATTTTTAGGTAAATGATTTAAAAGAACAACTAAACGAAAAGAAAGCTCAAGTAGAAGACTTACAATTACAACTTGGTAAACGAGAAGAAGAATTGACACAAGCATTCATGAGAATTGACGAAGAAGCTGCTAGTATGTTTTTTTACTTTTTCTTGTATAGTTCATTATTTATATGAATAACATTTTTTATAGGTAAAGCACAATCTCAAAAGGCTCTCAGGGAATTGGAATCGCAACTTGGGGAACTCCAAGAAGATCTTGAAGCTGAACGTACAGCTAGAAGTAAAGCAGAGAAACAAAAACGTGACCTGAATGAAGAACTTGAAGCTTTAAAACATGAGCTTTTGGATTCTTTGGACATAACTGCAGCACAACATGAACTTAGAGCTAAACGAGAACAGGTATAATTAGTATAAGTCACTTATCAGTTCACATGCTTGACCTTTAAAACACCTTAATACCCATAAATGTTGTTACCTATTAGGAATTGGCAACCCTTAAGAAATCATTAGAAGAAGATACACAATCGCACGAAATCATTATTACCGAAATGCGACACAAACACAGCCAAGAAATATCCGTTATAAATGAACAGATAGAATCCTTGAAAAAAGTATTACTTTGATATTTATAACTTATGTGTACCAACATAATATTATACTATTTTTTTTCTTCTATTATAATTTTCTAGTCTAAAAGTCAATTGGAAAAATCCAAGCAAACCCTTGAAGCTGAAAATGCTGATCTCGCTGCTGAACTTAAGTCTTCCGTATCTTCTAAATCCGAATTAGAAAGGAAACGTAAAATTACTGAATCTCAACTTAGTAAGTACTATCTTTTATAAACCAAATTTTTTTTATAATACATTTAAAAATGCAATTTTATATTTTATAGGTGAGATACAAAGTAAATTTGCTGAATCTGAACGTTCGAAAAATGAATTAATTGATAGACTTTCAAAACTAAGCAATGAATCTGAATCCATTGTCAATCAGTTGGAAGCGGCTGAACTTAAAGCTTCTGCTGCTGAAAAATCAGCAGGGACAATGGAAACTCAGTTGCAAGAAACGCAGGTATTTAAGAACAAAATTAGTTGATATTTTTTTTGTTTTTTTTAGGTTAATTCTTAATACGTTATTGTTTTTATTTTGTTTTAGGCACTTCTAGAAGAAGAAACCAAATTTAAGTTGTCATTGAACTCAAAACTGAAACAAATTGAAAGCGAAAAAGAAATTTTACAAGAACAGTTGGAAGAAGAAGAAGAGTCCAAGAAAAATATGGAAAAACAAATTGTTGCTCTTAATTTACATATAACTGAAATAAGGAAAAAAATGGAAGATGATGCTGAATCAACTGCTGCAATGGAAGCTGCTTATAAGAAAACCTTTAAGGTAAATTATATTATTTATTAATCTATTTATTTTAATCATCAAAACATTTAGGATAATATACTATTATATGTACATAATTAATATAATAATACAAATGTTTATACCTAATTCCTATAATCATTGCTTGTGGTGGAATTATAGAGTCGAATTAGTATTAAGTTGGCACATTATGATACTGGGTTAAAAACCTTTTGCGGCATCTAGTAATATAAACATAATTTATCTGTATCAAGTGAACTATAAGCTAAAAAACTTTTGATTTGACTTATATCATATTCTGCTATTTGTACTAATAAATCAGATGAAATTCTGTCTAACCCATTTGATGCACTTTTTAATTATTTTCATATCCAATAAAGGATGTATAATCTAATTCATAATTATGAATAATGTTATTTTTTGTTGGTTTATAATTTGTTATTTTATCTTCTTGTAAGTATTGAGTCAGTTATTTTTTTACCAAAAATAAAATTACCAAGTGATTATTTAAAAGTATTTGTAAACAATTTTGCATCAATGTTTAAGTATATCAGTTACATTATTATTATAAATGATTTTGGAGGGAATTTTTAGCCAATAGCATTAGCAAGCATAGTTTATTATTAATTTTTTTGTGATAATTAAGTAATATAATATAATTTTTTTCTTTATTAATACCATTTTACCTAACTTATGCCTAGTTCTGATTGATTTTAATAAGCTTGTAGTTATTCATGGTTTAATTCATCTCTTATTTGATGATATCTAGTTATCCTTCAATCTTTGGAGAGTAATAAATATTTATTCAACAATTCATTTAATTTATTTACACGCATTAACATCTGATTCATTCAAAACTATACCAATTTTATTCATCTAAAAATTAATTTAATAATCTAACTTTAATTATAAGTTTATCATTATAATGACTTTTATTGGTTTTTTTTATGCTTTTTTGTTCATTGATTAATATTATACTATAATAATCAGTAATATGAGATTGATAAATTTAAAAATTACATTTTTTAAGTATGTAGTTTTTGCAAATATATGCTGTAGATGTCATTTTCCCAAGTGGTATTGTATATATATTTATACAACTATAATTAAATTAAGCCATTAACTTCAAATATTCCTATTTATTATTATCTTTACTACCTGGCGATATATTAATATTATTATCTCTTACTGTTATAACTTCATTCACCGCAGTAGCATTTGATAATTTATTAGTTAGTTGAATTTTAAATTTCAACCTCTATAAAAAGCCATTATTACACGAGTAGTCCCATTTGTACTAATATTTAGTTGTAAACAATGACCATTATAAATAAATATCTCATTAATGTGATTAACTTTATGTTTAAACTCTTAGTAAAAACAAGCACAGCTAAACTATTATTTGGTTAAAGTATTACTATAAGTTTTATATAATTTGAATCCATCCATATTAAGATTAATTACACAAATTTTGAGTCAACATTTGAATAGAACAATACACAATCAATATATTTTTTTATATTATCTACATAATTAATATTTGATAAAAAAAATTGTATATTAATGATATACTAATAGGAAAACATTCATTATTAATATCAAACTTGTTAAAGGTATATCCGAAAATTTATTATTATAAATTAAAATATCATTAATAGGAGGCTTCTTCAACGATATATTTTTGAATATCTTTATAGTTTTGTTTTGTGCAAAAAATGTAGGCATCACTATTCTGAATTATCTATTACTCAAATACCCAATGGCCAGGAGCCAGTAATTCAAAATCAAAAATTAATTTTGATGACATTATATTTCAGTATCAATATCTAAATTTCTGAAATAAAATTTGCGATATCGATGGTTGTGTATTTAATTATTTAAAATTTAATAACGAGGAATAAAGTAAAAGGAGAATAAACTATTTTATTATTAAAATAATTAATATATTATAATAGTTAAACAATTGTTTTTACATCTATTTTGTTTAGGATGTGGAATTGTTACAACGACAAATTGAAGAATTGCAAGCAACAAATGATAAATTGGAGAAGTCTAAGAAGAAACTTCAATCAGAACTGGATGATATTAATATTGATTTAGAAGCTCAGCGTTCCAAGGTTATCGAACTTGAAAAGAAACAAAGAATCTTTGATAAAACCCTTGCTGAAGAAAAGGTAACAATATAATAAGATTTACTCTCGTTTATTGCCTTTAAAAGATTATTTCAAATAATTATTGTAAATATTTAAAACTAGGCGGTTTCTGAACAAATGGCTATTGAACGTGACACTGCTGAGCGAGAAGCTCGTGAAAAGGAAACACGTGTGCTTTCTTTAACCAGAGAACTTGATGAAATGATGGTGAAAGTTGAAGAATTGGAAAGAGGAAAGAGAACGCTTCAAAATGAGTTGGATGAATTGATAAATAGTCAAGGAACAGCTGACAAAAATGTTTGTGTACACTTATTATTCATATATTTGAAAAAATATTAAAATACAATTTTTGTCTAGGTTCATGAATTGGAAAAAGCTAAAAGAATATTAGAATCACAATTGGCTGAAATACGTGTACAGAATGAAGATTTGGAAGATGAACTTCAAATAACCGAAGATGCTAAATTGAGACTTGAAGTGAACATGCAAGCATTAAGGGCTCAGTTTGAACGTGATCTTGTTGTAAGTGATTTATGAAAATACCTTACATAAATGTCAATTTATATCTAACTACCTTTGGCCAGTTTCTAACACCTATTTTTTGTTTAATGATTATAGTTTATATTTTGATCATAGTTTTTATACACCCATACATGTTTTCAATTTTAGTGTTAATTAGATTGATTAAACTTTTAGGCCAAAGAAGAGCAGAGTGAAGAAAAACGAAGAGGACTTTTGAAACAAATTCGTGACATTGAAGCTGAACTGGAAGATGAACGTAAACAAAGATCTACTGCAATGGCCGGTCGCAAGAAAATCGAAGCCGATTACAAAGATCTAGAACAACAGTTAGACATGCACAACAAATTAAAGGAAGATGCTTTGAAACAACTTAAAAAATTACAAGTTCAATTGAAGGATGCTACCCGTGACGCTGAAGAGGCTAGAGCTTCTCGCGATGAGCTTTCAGCAACGTCTAAAGAAACCGAACGTAAATTGAAATCCGTTGAAGCCGAATTACTGTTGTTGACAGAAGAGTTGTCTGCATCTGAAAGAGCTAGACGTGTTGCAGAAAGTGAACGTGATGATCTGCACGAAGAAATGAATAGCAATTCCAACAAAGGGTTTGTCTTAATATTATTTTTAACACAAAATCTGAATGACTAACGGGTATTTTATTTTGTTAGCAGTACATTAATGGTCGATGAAAAGCGTCGCCTGGAAGCTAGAATTTCTACATTGGAAGAGGAATTAGAAGAAGAACAGACAATGTCAGAAGCTTTGAACGAACGAATTAGAAAGGCTCTAATTCAGATTGAACAGATGAATTCTGGTAAATTAATTATAATTTTTTTATTTTATCTATATATTAATTGAATATTAATTTTTGTAAGATTTGGCTAATGAACGAGCGACAACACAAAAATTAGAGACAAACAAAATGTTATTTGATAGACAAAACAAAGAACTAAAGGCTAAATTGGCAGAGATTGAAACCAATCAACGAGTAAAAACTAAAACTGCTATTTCTAATTTGGAATCCAAGATTGCCAATCTTGACGAACAACTGGAAACTGAAGCCAAGTATGTGTATAAAAATATCTAAACCTGATTGATTTAAAAGGATTTTTTGTTGTATGAGTTTTGTTATGTATTGTCATTACTAATGATAATTTTCAATGATTAGGGAAAGACAATTGCAACAAAAAGCTAACCGTAAATTAGAGAAGAAAATGAAAGAAGTTGTGATGCAATTAGAAGATGAGAGAAGAACAATTGAACAGTACAAGGAACAAGTAGAAAAGGTATGTATGTCAAACCCTATCAAGAACGTTGCTACTACGTAAAAATGTGTCTTTTTTAGAGCAATGCTAGAGTTAAATCTCTAAAGAGGCAAATCGAAGAAGCAGAAGAAGAAATCAGCAGAGAGAAACACCAGAAACGAAAAATTCAGCGTGATCTTGATGAGCTTTTGGAATCCAATGAATCAATATCCCGAGAGAACAATAATTTGAGAAGCAAACTCAGGTTCTTAAAAATACATTCTATAATATTTGATTGAAAAAAGACTATAAGGTATAATATGTATGAATTTTTTTTTATATAGGCGAACTGGAGTGACCACGACATCCAGAATAGGCGCTACCGGTAGTAAACGAGGCTCAACAATTGATGATTTATCGACAGTCCACGGAAGTTCTCTAGATGATTCGCTGGAGTCGAACAATGGATCGAATGATGCAAATTCTCTTGGTAAGCAAAATCAGTGAAAATATGAATATAATTAGAATAAATCTATACCATTGTATTCTTCTCATGGTCAAGTGGACGGCGTGAATTAATATTACAATATTTAGGTGCCGAAGACATGTGGTCTCGCTAAATTTTCAAGATTATTACTTTTCAATCAAAAAAATAAATAAATAATGGTATGTAGGGAATGCACATGAACAACCACCTCTTAGTTCCCGACTCACTAAATTAACTCCTTCGTGCTAAAAAACTTGGCTTATTTATGTACAATGTTTGAAATTGAAATTGGGAAATTTCCAACCCTCAACGTTAAGCAAATATTTTTACATTTGTACATAAGCCACTGTTTTTTCCCACGTTAAACGCATGGGAAAACGTAGTAATTAATCTGTGCCCTTGCACTATCTCTAGTAACAGTTATGTTCAAAATATTATTAAAATTATTTAAAAGACAATTGTGTATTTTCGGACCATGATAATAATATATTGTCACTTTTTGTTTTTATTTAACAAATATCAATGTATGATGGAAGCATTCAACGTGTTTGAACATAGCTGTTCTTTTAGTTTAAAATAATAACCCATGATCAATATTTTATTCTATTGTATTTAATTTATACTGATAATTATTATTTTTAAATATAATCTAATATTAACAATGAATGTACAATCATACTATCTTATTAAGGTTTAATTTTTAATTCCCCACTAATTATGTATGTATTAATTAATATCTAGTCTTACCAATTTGTGTAGTTGTTTATATAACTACTATCTCACTTTAAATTAATATTGATGATCATTTGATTTTTATAAATCTTGATAAAAAAAAAAAAAAATTGGCAATATTCCATTGTTGTTTGATATGTTATATTTTTAATTCACAACTGGGGGAGAAATAAACAAGCCGTTAGAAATAAGTGATAACCTATATTGAGTAACTCATAAATACTTCTTACAAGTATTGAAATTGTAAGGGCCAGTTGTACCGTCTACGGTTAAACTTTGATTAAGCTTAATCAGCTGAACCAAAATTTAACCAGGCAAATTTGGCCAATTAAACTCCGGTTAACTTTAATCAGAGATGGTACAACTGGCCCTAAGAACTATAGTATTTGAATAATAGCATGTACAATCAAATAAAACGCTATTTTTAATCATCAATAACAAAAATAATTATGTAGTTTTTAGACTGATCATATTTGTTTAATCTTGACATTTAATCATCTAGTATTATTATAAAAACTTATTCATTTTTCAGGTCCGTGAAAACAAAAAAAAAAATACAAGGCTCAAAAAAGAAACCGAATTTTTTTAAACTTATAGTTTTAACCAGAAACGTTTCCTCCCCCCTTGAAAATTCCCTCAATTAATTATTGTATTGTACTAAAATTTGATTTATCGCCAAATAAAATGTTTTTTCTGACATTTTGAGAAATATTCTGGAAAGCGTTAAGTATTACAACAACCATTGTTTTTCCAAGAACGGAAAACTGTTATTATTTATTATTTATTTATAATTATTCTATGTTTTTTTTTTAAATTTTTTGTGTTTGTACAAAATAATTTCTTATCTAACAACAATAATTATTTATATATATTAATCATTAACCATATAATAATAATAACATTAATGCCATTTACATTTTTATATTTATATTCAAATTACATATTATTACTTGTCAGTAATATAATATGCTACACATTCCTTATTATTATTTATTATTATTATTATTATTTTATTTATTTTTTTTGTATTTGTTACATTTTATACAGAATCTTGGACGTGTAGATAAAATTAAAAACGAATTTTTTTTTTTACCTATAGATGATAATTTGTATTTTCAAGTTTGTTATGTGAAAATCAGGTACTGATGAAAAAAAATTCATATATTTATACATAAAATACTTATTATACACGGATTATTCTTTTTTATACTATGCAATGATAATAATGATATTATTTATTATATATTATGAAAAACGCATTTACCATAATTAGCATTATTTTATAGTTAAGGAATAATTTGATTAATCATTAAACAATAAAAAAAATAAAAATATTAATGCATTGCTGTTCGTTATGTGTATCACATCATGCCTTTGAATTATTATTAAAGATTCGCACAGCCCCTCCCCATCAAATCGTAAATCCGAAACAGTACTGTGGCTAATGCTGGCACACTGGCAGCCAGCATTGGCAAGTGCTGGTATACGTCTGGGATGATAACGGTAATCAGTACTGACCATCAATGCTGAACTGATACTATACCCGTAGTATGTCAATATTGAGTGGTACGCTGGCTGCTAGTACTAGTGTATACTGTATAGCACTGGGAACTGGATACAGTTTTGCTTTTGATTGACCAGTACTGTGCCGGAAAGAGCCAGTCGACTGTCGGGTGACCAGTACAAGCGCATTACCGCGCCCTTTGTGAGTGTAAGACACATTTCCAATTGGAGGGGGGGGGTCCTCGCGTTGTGAGACTTAATCCAAAACTGTTTAGTTTTGAAACGATAACCTATTTATTAAATCCGTTTGATCAGATTCGATTTTTTGCAGCGATCTGTGCTCGATCTTGTAACGTTCGAGCTCCATGGTTTTTTGTTCGATCTGCGACTGCAATGGATAAAAAAAAAAACAAAACAGTTGATCACGGTTTGACAAAACCGAACGATGTCACCGTCCGACCCCCTGCCCAAGCGGCGGTTATATACTTGTAACGTGGCGATTTCTTGTTCGGCCTTGTTGGGCAACGACGCCAGCTTGTTCGACGCGACGATCGCGTCTCGCTTCTCTCGCTCCACCTGTCTGGCCAAACGGTCCATGACGCCGATGAAGCCGTCCACCGCCTCGCGGTACAGCTCTATATCTGTGTAAAAAAAAAAAAAACCGAACGATTACATTTCCATTACACCCGTAGTGTCCGTCCCTCGCGGTTACCGCTCATGAACTCCACGCATTGGTCCCTCAAACCGGCCACCTTGTCCGCCAAAACGGGTTCCATGACTCTGGCCTTGCCCATGTCGTCGACGCAGACGACATCCGACACGGGCACGCTGTCGGTCATTATCTGCAAAAGAAAACCATATATTACGCATTTTTTTTTTACGACGAAGTCGGAAATCTGAGAGAAATTAGATAGGTGGAAGTGTATCTCATAGAAATGATGACTAGACGTGGAAAGTTTCTTATTTCTACTTTTTACTCCTATATATATATTATATATAGTCCCTCGTCTCAGGAAAACTAACCGATGGATCCGAAATCCAGATCAATACGTGATATTGTAATCCACTCTCCTGCAGATTACGGTTTGGTCAAAATATTGCTCGGCGCTTTACTGTATACGTTTTTTCGTGGATATCTCAAAAAAGTGCCTAAAAGCGGTCGTCCGTTTTACTAACTTCATAATCTCAACAATATACTATAATATTATTATGAAAAAACCGGCCGAGTGCGAGACGCACGAAGGGTCCCGTACCATTATGTATAAACATGTTGGGACTTGGGAACACTGCTTGTAAAATATATTTTAGGATTTTTAGTATTTGTTGTTATAGCAGCCACAGAAATACATAATTTGTGAAAATTTCAACTTTCCAACTTTCGTGGTTCATGAGATACAGCCTGGTGACAGACGGACGGACGGAGAGTGGAGCCTTACTGCAGTGGAGTGTATCATAAAAAAAAATTGGTGTTGCTCAAATAATTTTACGAGACCTACCCCTCATAATACCGTCATACCGACCTATAAAATGACCTATTCTTTCATCTATGAATACCCAGCCACCCATATTTAAGGTGTTGCCCGAGCAACACTTGAACCCTAGTAATACTGAGCCTTAGTAATAGGCTTCCGTTTTATCGTGTACGGAACCTTAAACGCACAATAATAATTGTCCCGATGTTCTTAGTTCTACATCTCTTTATTATGTTCGTATGGGTTTGGAATCAAATATTATAATGTTGACGAAATTCCAGTTTTTTGGCATACCTACCTAATAATATATATCAATTAATAAACCCCTAACCCCCCTCCCCCCTGGTTGCGCCACTGCAGCCAAGGTTCTAATTATAATTGTAGTCGCTGCAGATTATTGGACTCACTTTGGGGCCAGAGTAGGTATATTATGAGTCCCATTAACCGAATGATTCAATAAGGCGAAATTTTAGGGCTTAGGTTATACATACCAAGTATAGGTAAACTAGGTAAAATATATATACCTACATATGAATTGTAATAAAAAATTTTAATTTGGCCATGTATTGATAAGTATTCATTATTATGTACCTATTTCAAAGACATGTATTGTTATTCATAAAGAAAAAGAACATTTTTTCTGGGCAAGACCCCGTTCGCCCAAAAATGACCCTTCGCTTTTTTCCCACGTCTCTTTTTGCCCAAATATTTAATAGCACTTTCCGACCAAATTTTTATAATACACACTTTCGGAAACACTTACTTTAAATTATTTATATCTCACTATCTTATAGTATCCGACATAATAATAAATTTGTCATATTTAAATTTATTTATTTGTGTTAATTAGTTTTATAAAGCTATTTACACCCAGAGGGTACCACGAGGAGGCGACTTCTCTTACTCTCCAAAAATGTATTGTGTTTTTGTACATTAATATAATTTAAGTAAATGACAAATTAACAAATTACTGTGACTATTTAACCGATACTTACACATCTGAAGATAGTTTATTTCCACCGAGTATTTGGGCATCTAATACGTCGGAATTAATAAGAACAACTAACGCGTGTGAATCTTTTCATTCTTTTTTTAACAAAAGTTTTAATCATATTTCTCCACCAATAAGTGCCTGGTTAAGTGTTATTAATGAAATTCAAACTGAAGTCTACATTAAATTAAATAGTTTACATTTACAAAGGTGTCCCAAAGATAAAAAAATTATAGATCGACAGCAAAAAAATGAAGTAAAAATACAAAAATATAAATATTTAAAATATAAATATCGGTATGATTTTATTAAATCAATGTCATTTAACTATTCTATTTAATATTATACTATCAAAATTTTGACGATTTATACTTTTGATAAAAACTTACTCATGTATTATATAAAAATTATATTGATGTACAAAAACTGTACAAAAACACAATACATTTTTGGAGAGTAATAGAAGCCGCCTCCTCGTGGTACTCTCTGGTTAATGCTAAATGGCTTTATAAAACTAATTAACACAAATAAATAATTTAAATATAACAAATTTATAATATATTATAAATAATTAAATAATTTAAAGTAAGTGTTTCCCAAAGTGTGTATTATAAAAATTTGGTCGGAAAGTGCTATTAAATATTCTTGGGCGAAAAGGGAAAGTAGTTTTAAAATATTTGGGCAAAAAGAGATGTGGGCAAATAGCGATGGGTCATTTTTGGGCGAAAAGAGTACCGCCCATTTTTTCTATATTATAACAAAAATACTACCTACCTATACAATTTCTAGTGTGATTATTGTCCAAGGTTTTTGATTTACTTGAGAACCAAAATAAATGTATTTATATATTTCGTATGACATCAAAATAAATGAGCCTGCGAAAAACGCTCCCCCTAAATAACAACGCACATTATTGAATTTACAACCTTTATGAGTTATTATAATTCTATATTATTATACTTTAATATTTATGTAAATTAAATAGTTATTACGACTTTCACTAATACAAATATTAAAAAAATCAGCTGGAATTTCAGACGGTACCTATACCTATATTGTTGTTCGGTTAATCACGTATTATTAAAACTCAACTGTTTAAGTAGTGAGGGTCTGTGCTGTGTCTGTGCTGTCTGGTCACGGATGTTTCGGATCTTACCTTCACAGATTCCACCTACTGGATTCCGACGCATGCGCGCAGTGTGGCTACTCTCCCGACGATCCGGAGCATGCGATATTCCAATGCGACGCGTGGGAAAATTGGCGGGTCCAGACGTGTGGCGAACTGGAGGTGGAGGAACTCCGAGCGGACAACCTGATCCAACTTATGACATCAACCCCAGAAAGGTGGAAGCTGATCGTTAGGCTGGTGTCTAGAATCATGGTCACCAGAGAGAGGGATGAACGGCGGCGCCAACACCAGCCACGGTGAACCAGAGTGCACCCCGATATCAACTTAATGTAAGCTAGTTAAGACCTCTATATTGTAGTCGGAATGACAAGTTTGAGAGGATAGAGCCTCTCGTTTATTGTATTTCAATGTTAAGGTTGTTTCTAGGGGATTGTCCTAGGATTCAATCTACCGTTTTGTGTACTATATTTTGTGTTAAATAAACGATGGTGGCTCTCTGTCTACCCCCGAAGTAATTCCAGCGGAAAGTTCCGGGGGTAGCAGAGGCGCTCAGCCGATAAAAAAAAAAAAGAAAAAAAAGTAGTGAGGGTCTAAAGGGGGGGGGGGGAATTAAGCACTGGATCCGGCCACTGTGTTTAAGAGGACATGACACGGACATATACAAGTATAGCAAATTTAAGCTCGGCAGATGGCGTTTTGTTTCGTCATTTTAAAAATTAGAGTGAATTGACCTATCATGAAGCTTGTTGGTAAGAGCAAGTGTATGTGAGGGTTTTTTTTACATTAATTCAGTTTTAAAGTGTGTTGAGCATTTTTAATATTGTAGGTCAGTAGGTGTCGAACCCGCATATTGTGTTGTCTCCGTCTTCACACGCGTACGATATATTATGGCAAATTTTCGTTCACCAATTTCAATAGTGTGCTGTTGCCCGTTAGTTTTGATATTTGAATTAATTTACCTTCTGGCTATTGTCAAAATTTTAGACAAGAACATTATCTGTGTTCTCTCGTTGATTTTTTACGGTGTTTTAATTTTTAAATGAATCACGAGTAGGTACCTCCCTATATATAAATTGGATATCTCATATCTGTAATAATATAATATTCGAGTACGACATCCTCTCGTTAAAATATTAAAAGTACCAAATTCTTAAATCAACTATATGACGTAATTTTCTAACAAATTTTTTCCATACCGCCGTCCACCACTAAAGTCTACTCTAGATTACCTCGTTTTTCCCTTGAGCTCTGGAATACCCGGAATCTACGGATCGTGTTTATTTCCCATTTAGGAACTATACCGATGGAACTCCTCAGGAACTATCTACAATTTCGAAAACAATTCCTCAAGATTAATATTACTTCGTTCCCACCAAAAATCTTGATTCGTTCAAACTTATTTCCACCTATATTTAGTTGTCAGTTCAGTTTTCAATCGATCATTTTTTTTCGCTCGGACGAGAACGAAAATCAAAATTATTGACGAAAACGTCGACCACTCTAAATCTAACGTCAAATAATAATAACTATTGATGTATTGAAAATATAAAATGGCTCAAGTTATAAGCACAAGCGATGAGAAAAACCTCAAAGGCAGGTCTTCGGGATTTCCCGGACAAGACTTCTCAGCAACTTTCGAGGATTTCCCACAGTTTCTCAGTCGATCTGTATATATGATGTTATCGACTGTCACCGTCAGACGAAGATATTTTGGCGGGACCAATCGTTTCAAAAATATAAGGTGCTTATAATTATTTATTTATATAGGTAGCTTATTTTTCAATCCCTACAGTAGGTAGCCAATTTAATAGTCACATACAGTCGTCTTTTTTATCTATATCGAAAAAAGAATATTTATTTAAACGGTTGTCATTGGTTACCTACATACTAGTATTACCTATAATATTAAATATTATTAATTATAATTAGTAGAAATATGGGGGGGGGGGGCATTTACAAAAATAATATATTTATTTAAAAAAAAAGAAAAATTGGCAAAGATGACGCCCCGGTCGGTACAAGTATGGACAACATTGAACAAATAAGACTCAGGTCAACAAGATGTAAACACGGAATAGACGAAATTTGATTGCGACTGTGACCTAAATTACAATTTTAAAATACAATATGTATAAAATATTATGTACTGTGTAGGCGTGTATTGTAATCGGCGACGTACCATTGGAGGGGGGAGGAGGTACAAATGGGGGCAAGTGCGCTGTGGCGGCAAATGTTCAAATATCATGTACTTTTGAGTTTGAATAGGGGCGCCGAAAAAAAGTATTGGCTGATTCATAGACCTATAAACTAATGGACTGCACCTCACTCACCACCCAGCCAACAATGAGTGGCGCCAATATAGAGTGAGTGAGAAAGAACATATTGGGGGAATCTTGGTGGACAATCATATAAGAGAAAGAGAGAAAAACATAATGGGGGAAATCATAGACGTATGAAACTAATACTGTAAATCGTACCCCTGACCTCTCTCTCTAAGCGCTGTCCATTAGTTTATAGGTCTATGGGCTGATTACATCAATAGTGCAATATTATCGGACGTTGGCCAATAACGGCCATTTATATTATCGTGCAGTTGTGCGAATAATCAAGGATGTGTACACGTTACGGAAAATCGGTGTTCCAATACTGCACTTCCAGCCGTACGGAGTATTAATGATTAGCGAAACGTATTTGGAATATTTTTCCTGCCGTCGTCGTCGTCGTCTTAGTATACAACTCGTCTGAAACGCAGTGCCGCGCACACACGCGATAAAACGGCAGCTTTACGTGCCAATTCGGCGGGCAACGGAAGAGCAGTCTGGCGAACGGACGAGTAATAATATATTATTTTCGCCGATGACTACGGCACTATTATCGCGATGACCCAATTTGGAATATTCCGCGAATTCTACGAGGGCCGCCGCAAACGTGGAACATAATATTTTATTATGTAAATTCGATAAAAAAAATCGTTTGTGTCGGCAAACACGCCGATGCCGTGGCAACGGTATCGCACGAATTCGCATTATCGCGGGCGCGTCGTCCGTACTTTTTTACATCCTCTTTGCCACGGTCGTTTTCTCGTTTCTTCCAAGACGACGGCGGCGGCTGATGCAATGAGCGTATATAAATATTATAATGTAAAAAATACGGCCGAACGGCGAACAGTGAACTTTATCATCGACGTCAATATTTTGATAAAATATAATTATTGTTTGATACAGTGTCGTCGTCGTCTCGTCCCTCAAACCGATTTTGAAATCCAAAATATTCGAAAATAGATCGTCCCTACAACTGCCCATAGGCGTCAATCACTTTGTGTTCGGTCACTATATAATTTCTCTGTCGCCAAACGAAATCTTCAAGTCTCCAAAATGCCAAGAGGTAAGTCAGCCGCGATGGTTTCTTCGAACGGAACGTCCGCATCGAGATTCTTTTGTTCCTTGTCGATCTGGAGACAATGCGTTTCTTGTTTTTTTTTTTTTTTTCCAAACGATTATTTTATCATTGATCGGTTTTTTGATTTTCCGTCTCCTCAGGAAAATGGACCAACCACAAAGGACGGAGTCGCAGGTTCACGAATCCCGAAGAACTAGAAGAACAGAGAAAACGCGAAGAACAGGAGAGAAGATGGAAGAAAAATAACAGAGGCGATGATGAATCGTCGAGCGAGGAAGAAGAAAAACCCGCGACCAAAGGAGACAAGAGCAATAGCGAGGACGAATCGGAAAGTGAAAGCGAATCCGAAGAAGAATCCGACGATGTAATTATAATTTCTATTAAGATAAGGACGTGTGGTTAGGCAATTGGATATTAAATTTTTTTGTTTTCGGCCAGAATAAAAAAGGTGTCGCTGGCCTGATACAAATCGAGAATCCAAATAGGAGACAGTTAAAAGCAAAGAAATTAGCTACGCTTAACGAAACCTTAGATACAGCAGAACCAGCCCAATTATCTAGACGCGAAAGGTTGATTAAGTTTATTTTCATTGTTTTTGAGTATATTTTACATAATATAATATGTTTGATGTTGTTCACAGAGAAGAAGTTGAAAGACAACGGAAAAAATTGCACTATCAAAAGCTGCAGGCTGAAGGTAAAACAGATGAAGCAAGAGCAGATTTAGCTAGATTAGCAATCATTAAACAACAACGTGCAGAAGCTGCAAAAAAGAGAGAAGATGAGAAAAAAGGTTAGTTTTTCTTTTGTTATTACTTATTATTAATTCTCATTAAATAAGCCTGAATTGTTCACGTATACTCCTATACTCTGTTCAGTGAGAGCACAGTCCGCATACCGACAAAGATCGGTTCTTCTGCACATCCCCTTCTCATAGGTTAACCAGTTTCGATGGCAACGTGACGAGGGGAATGCGCATAGTTGGTGTGTTCTCTCACTGAACAGACTATAACAATATACATTACTAACTTGATTTATATAATTATTATACACTATTAATATTATTGTGATTGTTATAATTTTTTTTAGAAAAGGAGATGGCTAAGATTCAAAAATCAGCCGAGATGCAAAAAGCACTCGGAAAATAGAGCAATTTATATTATGGACTGATATGTAATGTAAGAATTTAATTACTATTATGTTCAATTATTATATTAGGCAGTCATTTTCATTTGCTACCATTATATATGCTTTCAGTTACAATAGCTACTTTAATTACCACGATTTACAGACCATCATCTAAAATATATACCTAAAAAATGTTGTTTACATTATTTTAAAGTTATTTTTCTTTTATGTAACAGTAAATTCCCTATTTAAATAATATCCACTTCATTCATTTTTGCCATTATCACAGATAATAAAATGTATAAAATTATATATTATTATTTATATAATATTATGTACATTATATATTAAACTTTTGTTTATCCATTTTTTATTGTGTATTTGTGTGTTAAAATTAGTTTTGAACATGTTACGCACATACTTTTTACCATTGAAAACTGTAAAAGATGCTCGATGCGACATCCTAACAATGAAAAATATAATTTATAAGAATATAATTATAATTATTATTTCAAATATAACTATTTGATTAATTCAAATTGTATTACAATGTTCATGTACAGAAATTAAATTATATCTTGATTTATCTTAAGATTATCAGATCTAAACAATTATTTTATAATAATAAATAACCCAATACTTCAGAACTTACTTTATTAAACAAATATTTGAAAAATGTATTAGTTTACATTCAACATCTTCAGTCAAAGGCTTAAGGCAATAATAAATATAATAACCGAGAAACAACATAAACATTTATACTGTTTCCTAGAAGCTGGTATGCCTTTTTTTTGCTGACTGGAAAATCTGATACAGGAAAACACATAAATTTTGCCACCTCTGCTGGTGTAAAAAATCTTAATTTTAGACTTTTCAGCACTTCTAAATTATCGTCATTGTTATTAATAATTTCTTTGATATTTTCTTCGCATAGACTGGAATACACAGAACCTGTGCCACATAAATATGAACTGTATGAACGAGTGAAACAACATGATCTTTTACTGTATTTGGTAACAATGTCTAAGGCTTTGCCGCCTTTTAATAGTTGCTTGTCATTAATTAAATATTCTTCTAATTCTGTGTCGGATTCGCTCAATACATCTGAAACTTGTTGAACGCGGCTGCACAGTTTATCGTCCCAATAATTTTCAGTTATCTATATCAAAAAATGATTAAGTCTTGTTATTGATTTCATATTTTCATAGTCATTTAAATTATGTAAAACACTTGTGAATGGATTTAAATTTTAAATTAAACTGCATAGTGGTTGATTTGAATAGAAATGATAAGAGAATACATTGAATTCATTTAAATTTTTTAATTTAGCTATAATAAATATTTTTTTTATAAATCTTGGATAAAAAATATTAAACTGTAGATTTTTTGTTGTAATCTACATGACAATAGGTACATAATGTAATGCGCAATATTTAAAAACCATTCGTAAGGATGATGAAATCTTACAATAATATGTTGGTTAACACTAAAATATGAAGAAAACGTTTGTGTTTGTACCGGCAACCAGCTGATCATTTTATAAGAATAGTTTGCATAATATATTAACCTAATAACTAGGTCACCTACAACAATTAATGAATATTAATTTTGTAACAATTTAACTATAACAAATAATAGGTTAATATTAATTAGGGATATGGTTTTAAATGTGAATATTCAGTTTACATTGTATGGCTTATTAAGGTGATATTTCTGATTTTAGATGAAGAAATACTCAAGATTGGTAAGTGAATTCTTTCAACAATAGGTAAATGGATACAAATTACAAATATTAGTACAAGATAGGCAATGTGCAACATAATAAGATATATTTAGTTAGGATGATTCCTTAGTAACTTACGATATCATTTTGTAAGGATATTGCAAAATCTAATGGTTTCTTCTTGGCTAATAAATAATACCTCAATCTTGAATTGCAAATGCCAAAGTGTGTGGGACTAAGTAGAAATTCTTTAAACGTAAAACCTGACTGACTCAAAGAGGTGACTAATTTGTCTCTAGCCAAAGAACTTTCAAATCCTTTAACATTTTCCACTAAAATATATTTAAGCGATTCCGATTTCGGAATTATATTTTCAATAATGTGCAGCAGTGGCTTTGTTCTTTCATCTTTAATATCCTTGACAAGACCATTTCTAAAAATTAAATTAAAATGCAAAATATAAATTAAATGAGTTTGTTATAATAATAATTAATTAAAAAGCTTGCCTCGTGAAAGGTTGGCACGGTGGACTCATCAATAATACATCCGGATGGTATGCATCAAATTGTTCTGGGCTAAGTGAAAGAATGTTCATATCTCTAAGGTTAGTCGATGGAAAAAAATGTCTGTACACTGCATTTGCTACTGTATTTATATCTACAGCTAGGACAACTTCAAAATTTTCCAAGTTGCATTCTGAAAAGAAATTTACAATTACAATGCACAGGTACCTAAGGACTATCATATAATGTTTTAAGTATAACTCTTGTTATACCTTTCAGGGCGAAATGCATTCCACCAATACCACTGAAAAATTCAATGACTCTCATACTTGGATTACAAAAATCATTCGTTTTGAAAGAATTAAGACAACAATTCAAACGTTTATTTCAAACGGCAAAAAAAAACAATAAAATTATTACAGGAATAAATATTGTTGAATGAGTTGAATGTTGAATGCAGTTTTTTGGAAATAAAAAATAATTATTAACAGGTACCTCCTAATTACTGTTCTATACTTCTATGCTCCTATAATCAACATTTGAAGTCCAAAAAATAATTGTAAATATTATTGTTGATAAGAAAACAACGTGGGCAACAAGATAAAAGGCAATAGGCATTGTGACCAACTACTCCAAACGACAGTGTGAATCTTCCGGAAGACATTTCGGCGCGTTATCCTTTTTGAATAATTTATCAATAATAATAATTTTGCTATTCTAATGATGTGTCATGTGTGGACGGTAAGTACAACTTGTGCAGGTGGTGCGACCATAGTACTAGGTGACTATCGAATTGATATGAAACAGAAAATAGAAATCAAACATAATATCAAAGATGAACACGATCAGGGCCGGCTCAAGCGAAAATAGTGCATTAGGCATAATACAATTTTGCCGCCCCTAAAATGAAAGTAGGTATCATTAATTTTTGAAAATTCCACCCCACTACTAAAATGCCACTCTAGGCAGGTGCCTAGATGATGATGGTTCTCGATGATGATCTATTCGAAATTTCGAACTGTTAAACTGTCCAGTCTGCAGTTTTATATAATGGCTTACTGCAGAACAAATTTAATTAAATGTATTCTGTGGTTATTTGCAGAAGTGTATTGGGGGAAGGGGTTGTGGTATAATTATATTATAATATAATTATTATTCGTATTTTAAATTTTTGAACAACTTGTCTCAAGACCTGTCAATACTTCAGCAGTATCCGTTAAATAAAGAAATATTTTTACGCTATATTTTTAACGGATAGTTTTTACTCGAATAATAATTTTTTATCCCAATAATAAAATGTTTTCAAATTATTCTAAAACATTTTTTTTTTTTTTTTTGAACCATTGTGAAGAAAACATCCGATTAATAATTTATATAATGAATAGAATGTTATCTAAATAATCATCTAAATAAAATTTCATTCAAATAACGCCCTACTCTGCTACCACCATAATGATACTGGTATAGATGCTGTTATTGGCAGCAATATATAACTTGACAAATAGTACCTTTATATTATGAATTATGATTATTGATTGTTCAAATACTGAAAAGCATAAAATTGAAAACATCGAAATTTGATATAATATGCTCATCCTTCTAAAATGCAAATTAATATAACAACGCATATTGTCCTTGTGTACCTACATTTAAAATTATAATTATTAATTTTATTGTGTTTACCCTTGTCTTTTTTACCCGACGTTTTTCCCAGTTTACCGATTATACCTACGTTTAAAAAATAATTTTGGAATGTATTTATTTTTTTGTATCAGTAGTAACTTGAATAATCAAAAATTTTTTTTTACAAATATTTTCTCAAGATTTAGTTTTTTGTCGCCGTTTGGCAGATAAAAATTGTACAGACGTAATTTCGAGCCAATAGAATAGTATACAGTCGTATGGATGAATAAAGGAAATTGTTTTAATGTGAGTTTAAATATCACACCACAACGACAGAAAACGAAAATTGTAACTACCTACGTCACTATACGCCCCCCCGGAGCCGCCCCTGCATATTATTGAATGAATCGAAGAATGTTGCCGCAGATAAAATGTTTAATATATTAACTGCAACAGGTGACGAGTGGAGTGTTTTGCGTCTTCGACGGGTTTTTCGAGTTTCGACGACACGTTTTTCTTGTCGATCACGACCATAATAACATTGAGTATATATTGTATATTATATACTATCTATATACTATATATATATACTATCTATATACTATATATATACTATCTATATACTATATATATATACTATCTATATTCAATGATAATAGGTACATTATGGAAGACTAACCGCAAACCTTTAGTCAATTTTTTTTTTTCATGAATGCAGTCGAGGGGAAATTAAACATTTACATTTTTATTATTGTAACGCATATATAGATTAGAGGTAGTAGATATAGGTAGATACCGTCTAAGCATGCATCTCAATAACAATTATGTTATTTCTGTATGCCGGTATACACCATAGACATAGACAACATTGTAATATTGTACAGTATATATTATACGTTGTATACTTGTATAGTTGTATATATATTATCTAAGGTAAAGGTATACACACTAACACACTATTATAACATATTATATCATATTGTTCGGTACCTATGTATACTATTTATCTTGTGTGCGGCGTATATTATAATATTGTAAGTCCTAATGGGGAGACACGGTATAAGCTGTTTTTTATACAATTTTGTACAATGCTACAGTAATATCACCTGCAGATTTAGTCTAGACTCTGGAAGAAGAAGGTCCTGGTTTTTTCTACCACTCCGGTCAACGGACCGACACAAACACTTATACAATTAAAACTGGGTGTGAATGCGCTATAGTCTTATGACTAGGGCCAAAACTTGTATGCATTTGCATATTTTTATTGGTTGGTCAAAAAAATAGCTAGTTTATACCAAAATGTATTTTATAAACTAAGTATACAACATTTTATTTTGCATATTTTTGCATATTTTAGCATTTAGTATATTTTTGGAGCATATTTAAGATCTTAAAAACTGCTTCAATGTATTATTGCGAACATATACAAACTATTCGAAATGTAATACAGAAATTGAACCCCGAAGACGCCGTTTCAATAGCCAAAGTACAAAAATTAATTTCTAGAGATCAAGTTGAAGCAAATTTAACTTTTACTCGTTCAAAATATGGATTTTTACTAAATACCATAACATCTATAGAAAGCCAGAATGTTTTACTAGCAGACTCAATTAAATTAATAGAAACTGCGCGAACTAAAATATGTGAAGTTAGTGATACAAATGGCACTGATATTAACAAAAAAATGAGAGGATGTTTGTAACAAAAATAATGGTTTTCAATGTTTTCATAATATACGAAAATTTCTAAAGTATTATCGGGTGATGTATCCACGTTAGAAGGTATCCCAGAAGATTTTACAAGCAACGATTTGTTGCATTATAAATACATTGATGTAGAAAGTTCTTTTTCACACTACAAAAATTTGTTAACGGACAATCGACGCTCAATGCTGTTTGAAAACTTATCCAAATCATTAATTGTTCAATGCAATAACATCGGGTAAAAATTAAAATGTTTATCATTTGATTAATGTTTTTGTTTAACTTATTATTTTTTAATTAAGTATTACTTTAATTTTAATTTTTTAATTTTTAATATTTTTTAATACCACACATTTTTGTAAATCATTGCCAATGAATAATGATTCATTGGCAATTAATAGTATAGATTTTTAGTATAAATTGTATAATACATAAAAAAAAATAATCATTTAATTATTTTGTACAATAACATTTTTTTTTTAGAGCATATTTTGGTAATTTTTAGCGTATACCTAACTGCATACATATTTTATAGATTTTTAGGGCATATAATATAATATTATGACCGTTTGGACGAACATTGTTGATAGCTCGTGTAGTCGTGTGACTAAACTTAGAACAGGAAAAATTCTTATTGACGTCGATATGATTTATATTCGTTCAAATCAAGAATATTTGCAAATATTTATTGTAAGTACCTAGTTAAAAATTCGTATAATTTTTAATTTTTATACCTGAGGCTTGACAATTCCACACAAGGTTCCTCATAAGTTTTTCTTACTAGGATTTTAAAAAAAGGATTAGGCAAGAGCTACATAACTTTTTTACGACTACCTTCATGCCTATAAGCTGCGTAGGCATTAATGTATAATGAACTATTGCACATTGGCACATTATGATTTGGACAAGTCATCTCTTTAGTCCTATACAGTAATTGTATCCGAACACAATGTGAATTATGATGGGTGGGTATACCTATATAGACGGCCGATGGCATATTATCGGCCATTATCATTGTTGACTGTTTCACTATAATTATAATCATTTCACACAATAATATATAGAGTAGGTAAGTACATGATTTTAATTTTTCTATGATAATAATATCATGTATGAATATTATATTTATGATTTTGGTTTTTTTTTTCAAGTGGTTGCCAGTATTCAGTAAACAGGTAAGTACAGTAGGTATACTTACACACATAATTAACATAGACCTCATATACACATACACTAGCTATATTATATTATTACTAGTTGATCCCGTGCACTTCGTTACCCGTTAAATGTACAAGTTGTATATGACTCAAACTTTGTTCAGGTGTATGATACTCTAGATTACTCTGAACTTTTCTGTTGCCCGGAATAAAAATTCTGATTCGCAGTAGTATATTATCAGGTAGGCAATCTACCTGCAGTAGATCCCGGACCCCGTGCTCGTGCTGTTTGTAATAAGTGTATGATTTAACTCTAAAGTATCAAAGTTATACCAAGTTTGTCGTTTTTACTTAATTCCATCTAAATTTGATTAATATAATCAATTAATACAAAATCCTAAGCTGACCTAACCGTACTAATATCAGATGAATAAAAAAAAACAAATTTAACCCTTTTTAAATTAGCCCATCTTCTTCCCAGAGGTCTGGGAAACATTCATTTATATATATCTAATATATAAAATTCTGGTGTCACAATTTTAGTTACCATACTCCTCCGAAACGGCTTGACCGATTTTTATGAAACTTTATATGCATATTCAGTAGGTCTGAGAATCGGCTACTATCTATTTTCTATACCCCTAAGAGATAAGATTTGTCCAGAAAAAAATAAAAATAAAAATAATATTATTACTAAAATAAAATATATTGGCTATTGGTTAATCGGGAATGTTTGTTGATTTGCATTATTATTATTATTATTATTATTATTATTATTATTATTATTATTATTATTATTATTATTATTATTATTATTATTATTATTATTATTATTATTATTATTATTATTATTATTATTAATTTACATGGTAAATATTAAAAAGTATTTGTGGTGAGCCACCCTTTACACCCAGGGGTATGAAAATTAGTTTGCATCACTCTCTGAGACCTACTTAATATACACAACAAATTTCATGAAAATCGGTCCAGCCGTTTCGGAGGAGTTTGGTAACAAACATTGTGACACGAGATTTTTATATATTAGATATACACAGTTAGTTAAGTAACTAGGTAAGTATACCATTCATTTTATGCAAATGTCACACGTATTGATTGCAGCAATTCACAATAGTTGCAGTAGACCGTCAATCTTATTGCTATACCTGCACTCTGCCATTTGCAAGTTTTATACCTATAAAGGTATATCTTTAGATACCTAATAAATTTTTCGCGGTGTTCGTAAATATCACATATTATAATATCATTTCGACGACGTATAACCGTCATAGCGATCGGACCTAAACACTCCTAATAACGGCCAACAGTAGAAAACAGGTAGGTACACGACGTATCATATTGTTAGCCTCATGGTTTTTGAATTAATTATTGTCGGTTACGTTTATACCTATAATATACATATGATAATATGAAGTATCGGTAATGAGACGGTGGAAGCATTGACGTGCCGCGTACGAATTAATAATAATTATATAGTCAGTGTATGGGCACTCGTGTTATTAGCATACATCGAGTTTATAATAATATATGTATATAATGCACAACAGACCGCTGTCGCAATAATTGTTTACGGCAAAACATTCGAACCATTCGATGTGAACTGAGGAAATTAACAGAGATAATAATAGATATTATTTATGCGATATTGTTGCGATGGAAGGCGGCGATATTTTCATACAAGATTTCATAAACGATCTCCAAGAATCTCCCGAGAGCCAAATCCAAAATGGTTTTCGAGGTTCTTGTATCCTCATTACCGGCGGAACGGGTTTTGTCGGGAAAGTCCTGGTTGAAAAACTGTTGAGGTACGTAAGTGAAATATGTCGAAAACAAATTATCGTTAATACACTTGGCATTGAATTTATTCTTCGCAGATCGTGTCGGGATTTGAGTACAATTTATTTGGTCGTGAGACCACTGAACGGTCGAAATCCGAACGAAAGGGTCAAAGAAATGTTTGTCAGCCCGGTAATTAATTGATTTTATAAATTTCTACTTGGTGGATATGAGCACGCGATTTAAACAATAATTAATTTCAAAACTATTTAACGATAAGTAGGTAGGTAGGTATACCTATATATGTTGTCGAATGCCCAATTTGGTTCATTCATATTAATAATTATATGATAATGATATTGTACTACTTAAACAGATTGATACATTTTTCCGAATGGGTATCTTTAGCTTCGAATTAAATTCGTTGCACTATAGAGGTACAATGACAAAATAATTATCTTTTGGTACCTACTATTGTCTATTGCTACCTACATACTGATAATTATAATGTTCTTTGATAATAATGAGATATAATATAATTTGGTTTTGGTCAATTGTATATAATATGTATCTATTATAAACATACTATTGGTCTATCAGTTATAGTAAATACATTTAAAAAATAAATCAGGATACTGCAGAGACCATAAAATATCAATATCTCTCTCACAAAAATATGTTCTACAGTTAAGTCACAGGAATATTAAATAAAATTTAAAGCAACAATTTATATTGCATTAAAAAAATTACCTCTTCGAGTACCATATATTTTCCATTACCAATCTATATAAAAGTGTGTTCAAACGTTTTCGGCTACTTCACTGTCCCAAAAAAGATTTTTTTTAATTACATACATAGACAAAACCAATAATCATTCCTTGTGCTACGTTTTAAATTTGTTAGTAGAAACTGATTCATAATCTAGTAATTTAATTTATTAACATCTAGTATGAAAATTTATTTTTTGGTCTACGCATATATTATGTAAAAGTGAATAATAATTATTTGTAATCTATAGCTTATAAATATTTATTTAAATTAATAAGTACTTAAGAATCAAAATTATTTATGCATTCATTAGCAATGGGTAGATATTGTAATATAATATTAGTGCTAGTACAACTTTTTTTTATTTATCAATGTAGGTCAAACAAAAATGTCAGCGTAGGTTAGACGAAGACTCTTGTTATTGTATAAAAAATAAAAATAAAGTTCAATGGTTGAAAATTAGAACCATAATAATATTATACTAATCAGTTACCCATGATCAATAATGTTAATATGTTATAATATTATAACGTTTTAAAGGAAATAAACAAATTCAATTTTCTAAAGAGCAAAACGTTTGTTAGCGCAATTAAAACTGACGACCGGTGTGTAGATATACTTTATACAACATGTAACAACATAATATTATAACTTTAAAAATCGACATCGAACAGAAAACAGTCACACTATCGTACCGTATGAAATGTCAAGAAAAAATGTATGGCACGGTATCCCGCCGAAATTGGCCGAATGACATAATATTATAAATTATAATATTATATAGGCGTAGACTGTAATAAGTTATTATTACTAATAAGTAATAACTAATAAGAGTATATTACTAATAGGAGTAAACGTAAAAAACAGGTTTTTAGTAACAGTGACCTGTTTAAAATTAAATAATCAGTTGTCAATTAGATAAATATAATAATATAATAACCTAGGTGCATGTATGCGTATATTTTAAGGTCTACTATTTTATTCGCGTACCTTAATCTGCACATAAATATTCAGACTACGAGCTCCAGAAGAGTGCAGAACGCCGCTATCGAACAGGAAATCGTAGAAAAAGGTCACTTGGTGACTAAAATGCGTGTACAAAAAATATATTAAAAACTATCTTCGGGGAGCTCGGGTATAGTTTCGAATAAATATTTTGATAGTTTTGCTGTCGAACCCGACGCAAATCATAAACAATTTCAATAAAATCACATTTTTACTCGACGTACTTGAGTTTACACCAGCAAACATTTCGAAATAAAAGTTCGACAAACAATATACGTCAGACGTCTCGTATAATATATATAGGTAATTCAAAGTACCCAACAGGCGACAATATAGTTATTATTGAAGTTTGAATTGTTTTCTTAAAGATAAACCTGTTCCCGCCACGAAATAATAAATGTATGATCAAAATTAAATACATATTATACAATAATATTCAGAGATTTTAGAAATTTATATTTTAATCATTAAGTTTTGCAAAACATCATTATGCATTTCTGGGTGATATCCCTGGATCCAAATACATGCAAGAAAAGTTTCTAATAAACGCTCTGAAACATAAATAATATGCAATTATAATAATGAAATCAAAAAATATAGGTATAGGTACCTTATTCGTATATCAGACAATTATAAAGATAGTGAGAGAAATGTAAATTTTAATATATATCTAATTTATGAGTATTTCCAAATTATGGTAAGATATTTTATATAATCATATACCTGTCCAGTGAAGTGCCACATTTTTATAAAATATTCAAAAATACATAATATACCTAATGCATAGTTACAACTTAAATGTATGTAAATTAATGACAGCGTTTAATTATAATTTGTTTGCAATTAAATAAACTTGTTTGATCGAAAAATCTGTAATAAAAAAAAACTGTACAGACCTAAGTAGGTACCTATTTAAAAAATTATCAACGACTTAAAAATAAATTTTATCTGATCAAAATTCTCCACATAAAATTTCGGAAACAGTTTCATCTAGAGAAGTGGTTGTTAACCTTTTTTGAAAGACGGAATATTTTATATTTTATAAAATTTTCTCTGAACAAAGCCGTATAAAATAAAACAGTACTTATATATACGTTTTAAAATTGTATAATATATATATATATTAAACGATGCATGTATAGCACAAAATAGTTTACATACAAATTACAAATTAGTCAATAAAAAATAATAAAACCAATAAAAAAAAATGTCACAATTTTATAATTTTTCCACCGGTTTTAAAATTTTGGTGGAACACTTATTCTAAGTCCACGGAACACCGGTTAAGAACCACTGATCTAGAGCGCTATCGTAACGTTGACATAAATATTAAATTGAGTCCAGAAATTAATTTATATTTTATCACCAGGTTATTATAACGATTAACGTGTCTAATGTGATTTTAATGCAATAAAATCTTATGTTTGTCTTCTGTCCTTGTACACGTAGGTATATATACAATACAATAGGTGATTGTTTTAAATGTGAACGACTCATTATCTCTAAAAGTTGTAACGTTCTTTGAACATTTTTTTTAGGCAGTTAAAATTCTTTAAAAACAATATTTAAGAAAAAAGTAAAAAAAAGGTTTTACTTTTTTGATTGACAGCAGACATTTTTAATTTCATATATCCGAATAATTGTTTTCGAATTCAAAATATACTAAAATTGAATTTTGAACCATAGTAGTCAATAATATTTATGCTTATAGGTAAGTTAAAGTATTTCAAGTTTTGAGGAGAGGACTAGAGAACAACTTTTTACGGCAGTTTTTTTATAATTTTACCATCCGTTCGTCGAAACTCGAAACATTAAATAGTTACAATAGCTGCTCGTCAAACATAGAATTTTATATATTGAAATTCTCAAAAAAATATGAATACGAAATGAAAATGTTTATGCTGTCTTTTACAATAGTATAAAACTGATAATGATAATTATAAATAGTAAAGTAGGTATATGTAAATCGTATTTTTTCAAAAATTTTGTTTTGTTATGATTTAAAATTAAAAAATATATTTTTAAGAAATTTAATGTTTACCTTAAAAATAATCACTCGTATATCTTTGGTGCGCGGTAAAAAGGTGTTAAGTCAAAAATTATGATTTTTCTGTAGGATTTATTAAATGTTTGAAATTTTTTCCTAAATCAGATTTTTATTACCTACATAAACTTTGTTATACCCATTTAAAACTAAAATAAACTTTTAATTTTAAGTTTTGTTCTCAAAGTTATGAAAAAATTTGATTTGTTATACTTTTTGTGTACTTAACTCAAACTCACTTTTTAGAAAATTGATTTATATCATTTTGAAAAAAACTTAACTCCTTATGATCATATTAAAAAAAAAATGTATGACTTAAGCTTATAATATCTGTTTTGAATAACTTAACCCCAATTGATTTTAAAATGAAATGATTTAAGTTGACTTAATCCAATAATATCTTAAAATTGTATTTTATTATTAAATCAGAACGATATAAATTGACACAACTCTTTAATAGATCTTAATAAAAATAAAAATTTGAAACATATCTTTGATACACATCACATTCACAGCAACCAGATTATTTGGTGACTTAACTTGTTTGTACCAAAAATCGTGATTTTTTTTCGAATATAAAGGAGTCAAAACATGATTTTTAAAAAACATGACTTAACTCCTTTTGACCGCGTATCAATATGATTTGACCTTGTCGATATTTCAATCGTTGTGTTTTAATTCGTTTTCCGGTTGTAGTTTTTCGACCGCATGAAAATCGAAAATCCCACTTACCGCAGCCAAGTGCAAGTGGTGAGGGGCGACTGTTTTCAGCCAAACATTGGCGTGGACGAGGCTGTCTTGAACAGGATCGCGTCCAAAATAAATGCCGTCATCCACCTAGCGGCGGCGACCTCGACCGACAATCACCCCTACTGCACGTTGCACACGGCTGTCTGCACCAACGTCCGGGCCACCAGAGACTTGATCGTCCTGACGAAGCGTTTTCAGAATCTCAAGGTTAGGTCGGGCCTCTTTCGATACATTTTGTGCGAGGAGGGGGGGGGGAATTAAATAATTTACAAGTATTTTACATTGCTCAAATTACATATATTATACATAATATGATCTCATCTATAATCCTAATATTTCGTTTCGTCAACATCTTTCATTGTTTGTACCTAAAATGCTGTCAGAAATTATTAGTGTTGGTCGAGTACTTAACTTTGGAAAAATTTTCTAATCAAGTTTGAATGGTCGAATCGATTTGAAATTTTTTTTTTTATTCTTGTAATTACGAGAATACTCGACTTGAATCGAATACTCGCCTTGAATCGAGTACTCGATTCATAACTATATTTTATAGTATTTTAAATTTTAAATTTTTAAAATAATGAAACGAGTAATACTGTGATAGTATTATATTGAAAAATAAATGCTAAAACTATAAATAACTGAAAGAACACAAATATTTCTGATAAGAATAAAAGAAAGGTGGTAAGTACTTGATACTTTAAATTATGTTCACGTTAGTAATTGTCACTCGTCACTCGTCAGGGAAGGTTTGTATGAAAGAAAACTTAAAACTTTTTGAAAATCTATTTCTTGTACAATTTCAAATACTCGAGCAATTCCCAGTACTCGACCCTTCTTTTGAATACTTGGCATTTGTCGAGTATTCAATTGTTTTTATACTCGGCATTTGTCAAGTACTCGAATTTTTTTAGTACTCGACAAGTACTTTGAAATCCTTTGAAGTATTTTGAACTCGAATTAAAAAACAATACTCGTCCAACACTAATTAAATTAAAATTTCCATTATTTCGTCTTCATTTATTAATGGGTGTCTGGAGAATAGCGTACAACCTATGACATTCCCAAATTAAATCTTTTTCCACACACGAAAATAACAATCGAAGAAAAACGCTTTGATTCGCAGTGCTTTGGTTGACAGGCTAACACACCAATAATATTACCGTCACCGTTCCCCTCGTTATGTTAAACGCTTGGAGGGTTATTTCTCAAGTGGTGGCACGAAAAAGCCACCGGATCCCGCCAAGTGCTCTCCTTGAGTTCACATGTGCTACAGCCCACAAACACCCTCGTTTAAAAGGATGTTCTTTTTACAAAAACCTCATCATAACTCGTAATTCAAAACGTAAGCTAGCTCGTCATTACAACCCTCCCTTCGCGGTAATGGCTCAAAGTGACTCCACTCCCAGCTCCAATAAATAATAAATTATACGATCATACGCGCGCCAACCTCACAGCTAATGCACCACCGTTCAGCCAGAAAATACCATATCCAATTTTCTGGACGAACTTAAGTCCGCCATTAGACCACTACTACTCGACATCTTCCTGCAACGTCTACTATACTTCCATTCCATAATAATAACACTTTTTATCATTTTATTAGCTTGTCATCATTTTTATCTAGGTACCTACGAATTTTCGTGTTTTAAAATAATGTTATGTGTATCGTGTTTCCGTCGTAGCTTGTTTAATTTTTTGATTTTGTTTTTGTTTTTCCACGCCTTTTCTGCAGGCCTTTGTTTACGTGTCGTCCGTGTTCGCCAACCCCTCGATTTTGGACGTGTACGAGCAATTTTACAATTCCCCGATACCCACGTCCACCGTCATCCAGATGGCTGAAACCCTTCCCGATTACATCCTGAACCGAATGACTTCGGGGTAAGTTCACCATCGCACCCATGACCGGGGATTTGATTATTTTGTGGTGTTAATCAAATGGCGTATAAAAAATCTTAGAATATTTATTTTCAGAATTACAGTACAAAATCTAAAAATGTCTCGTATTTTGCAGTATTTTTGTTATTTGGCTGTGACTTGGTTAATTTTGGAATTAAAAAAGTTGGTTAAACCACCAAAATGCATTAAAAAATTAGGCAAAAAATAATTAGTGGTTAAAATAGCTGGTGGTTGCCATTTAAGAAAAAAAAGTTGTACTGCGCATGCGCAAGTCTAATTAAGTTAAAAAAATTCAAAAGCTATTATATATATAAAGGTGTACTTATATGTTATAACAACCAACAAGAAATCCGAATTCAAATTGCAGGGCTCTACCCAAAGATATTGAGTGTTCTCAATTACCGTTTACACACTGCACTATACCCAAAAAGATAATTTCGAAATAATATTAATATTGTCAATAGTTTATGCGAGGTAGGTAATCACGATTGTTTACAGAGTTATAAAAACTCGCACTGTTAGTGTTTTTTATTAATTTATTGAGTTCGAAAGTTCGGGCTTTCATAAAAACGAATATATTACATGTAGATATTATATTTATCTATTATTAATTTATGTATTATATTAATCAAAAAAATAAATAAATACAAAACAAAAAGACGAAAAATTTAAAAACATCTCAATCACCAGAAATAATATCGTAATATTATAATATTACGATATAGTCATACAGAAATAATAATACAAACCGGGCGAACATTTATCTCAGTAACCGTTTTCATAATAGGTATTAAAATATTGTTTATTAATATTATTCACTGTTCTATTATATAGGCTCGTGTCCGATTGGCCGGACGTGGTTACGTTTACCAAAGCGTTGTCGGAGCAGATCATTCAGTCGGCAGGACCAGAGCTACCAGCTTGTGTCATACGACCAGGGTTTGGTAACGGTTTTATATTTTTTGATTGTATAATATTACGTACATATTGATTTCATGTGTCACGTTGTCCTTGAATTTTCCGATAATTGTTTTATTAGTCATTCCCTGTAGCTATGAGTATGTCTGACTCTTTTCAACACTGTAGGTATTAAAAAGTATAGATAACTATATTAAAAAGATTTGAATAGAAAACGATTGTTATAGTGACAGAATAAATAAATAAAATATAGACAAGTCATCAGGAGAAAAATTGCAATTGTTCTCGTAATTTATTAAATTTATTTAATTTGAAGATCAAACAAAACATCTTCATGAACCGCGACCTGCAGGGTCGATGAACTGTGTAGATCAATGAATAAAATCAAGTTTAACATAATACTATATATTATAATGTTTTAACGTTTTATATGAAAATATTTACAAACTGGTTTTTTCTTATGGTGTGTACCGTGTGAGACTATGTCTTTTTGGCAACACCAGCTAGGTCATGGTCAAGAGCCACGTACTCACGTGGTTCTGAGTTATGACTAATATAAAATAATTATCAAAATATATAAAACGTGTAGTTTTATCCATTTTCGTTTATGTGCGTAGACGTTGTATAGTCATGTACCTACAACATGCAATTGGGAAATTTAAACCCTCACTTTAAATTAGTAAATTATTGTGAGTAATGATTTAATAATACTATATGTAGGTACATGTGAACACTTAACAGCATAGAATATATGTAAAGGCAATTTTCAATGAGCAATCGCCAATCACACAAAACAGTTTTGCAGAAGTCAATAATTCCATCGGTTATTTTTTCTAGAAAGACAGCGGACGAACAACGCCATATTAGATTCCAGAAAATTGCACCTAATAATATTAATAAAATATTATATTAAAATATCGGCTAAAGTACTGTAAATAATAATATATCTGCACGTTGGCGGGAATACCAACTTCAGAACTCACATGGCATGTATTATTTACATTTTACGGACTCAGTTTTATTAATAAATCATGGCCCCTTGACCACATCTTATATAGTATTATTGTTAGCTATCCTTTGATAATTTTTCCGATCGTTTTATCGGCTTAAGCCACCCATAGACCTATAACTTATAGGTCTATGAAGCTCCCCAAATTTTTTACCCTAATTGCGCCTATGAGTAACCTAACCTAACCTAACTTAACCTAGAAATAACTAATTTGAATATAACAACGCCATTCACGGTCTCCGTTCGTGACTGCAGCGATGTAATTAAATAATATACGATCATCAAAAAATATACCTGTTACATAACAGGTTTATTGAAAAACACAATAATATTATTAAAAAACGTAATAACAGGCACATATATACCTATATATGCCTGTTATTTGAACAAATATCGTACCTCGCTTCATCGTGTACATATTATTTTTATAATCATTGGATCGATCAACATATTATAGGCCAACTGTGTGTAAATTGTATACGATTTATATACCTATATAAGCACGAGTGGATGACGTACGACGATGCGACACCAAGTGCAAAATGTATATTGTAGACTCCCATTACATGGTGACTAAAGTTAAAATTGTAAAAATACTATATATAATATAGTAGATAAATAATTTAGTCTATTATATCGAAATCGTGTGTTACTAAATACTAATCAAGTATCTCAAAGTCACCAAACTGAGTTCAAATCATTAACAGACCGTTTTAACATATTCGTAATGTTACCATCAGCTATAGTTCAAACTTTCAGAGACTTCGTTATTCAAACGTGATATTACAGCTCATAGACAGTTGGTTTTTTTGTATACCCATATCGTTTTTTACACGGAGTTTGGAGGAGCGTTTTTGTCAGGTCATCATATAGTCATTGTCGGATCGCTTAATACTAAAGGCCGACACGCAGTGTGTACAATATTATATACTATTTTTCTGCATTTATATACACGCAAGGGTGGACGACGCCAAGTGCAAAATTCATAATTTTTTATACGCACGCGGATTTCGAATACTAATAGACATTTTTTTATTTTCTGCAGTTTTGGGCACTGCTAACGAACCCATAGCTGGTTGGACGAACGACTTGAATAACTTGACCGGTTGTGCGCTGGGTTCCGGTCTCGGCCTGGTACGGGTTTTTTACGGGCCCAGCTGCGTTAACGCCGAAATCGTACCCGTCGACATGTTGGTCAATCTTCTTCTGGTGGCATGCTGGGATTTAATCGGTAAAAGGTGTGTGCATATCCTCTAGATGTGTTTGTCAACCAAGGCCTAGTCACTATTTAAAAAAAAAAAATTGTACTACAAATGCATCACACCCCTTCGTACCATATTTTATAAATCATTTAAAAAAATGTGACTAGATTTTTATTTTAAATTCTTTTATTTTTTTGTATAACGCTTCAGTTTGGGGGTTACTTTATTTTTATTCTGCAAACTCCAAAAATATACACCAAGTATGAAATGCAAAACAATATTAACAGATATACTTGATTTTATGTCACTGAGTTGGTTAATTGGTATTGGATCTTAAACAAGCAATACCATAAGTATAAAATAGTTATACAAGCCAATTAACGTATGATTAACAGGACGGACGTCGTCAACGAGGAAGTTCCCAAAGACGCAGAAAACGCTTTGATTTACAATTACGCTTCGTCCAATTATAAACCGTGCTCTTGGAATCAGTTGGGAGAAAAGTTTTTTAAGAACGAAAAAAACGTTTCATCGCCAAACTTCGTAATTATAACACACTTTAATTACTATAACCCTTATCAGCCCATTGGGATGTTGGGACACAAACAATTAATAATAAAAAAATAAAAATCACAGTCTCCGATGATAAAATATCAATGCCTATTAGTCAATACCTATATATTATATTCATTAAAATACACATTTCGTCTGTCTTATACAATTGTTGTTTTCAGTTTTGGATGCCGTTTTATTATGTCACCAATAGCATATTCATCTACTGGGTGATGACGTTTTACTTACACACTGTGCCGGCCAAAGTTGTGGATTTGTTCATTCGGCTGATAGGAAAAGAACCCAGGCAAGTTGTAGTTGCACATGCTGTTCTCACGATTTTCGTTAAGCTCTGAGCAGGCTCTCGATCGGTATTATATTATTTTATGTATTTTAGACTGAACGAGTTCTATAAACGAGTGCACGCAGCAGCTAAACATTTGAGTTCGTATCAACAAATGCACGTCAGGTACCACAATCACAACGTCATAAATTTAATGAACAAATTGTCGCCGAGGGACAAAATGTTATTTGATTTCGACATGAGCACGCTGTCGTGGGACGCCTATTTCGATAAGTATCTGAAGGGCCTCCGGGTATATTTGATGGGAAATCCTTTGCACATGCCCGGACCAAATAATAATACACTGAACAGGTACCTATGTTCACTTTTAATAATAATCACGGACAAGTAACAACAATAAACTATGACCACCGTAAAATTTCAATTCAACGAAATAAATTCATATGGTGTTATATTGAACCTGCAATGTCCTTATTTGATCTCGTATTGTATTACACACAACTGCGCACGTTATATAATATATTGGTTAGATCGACTGCAGGTCGATTATCTATCGATTAAAAGTAGTTCTACAGCACAGCAACATTGCAATATATTATACTATTTAACTATTAGTTAGTGAAGATTTTCAAAAAGAAAAATTCGATACGTATCGTTATGGAATAGTGGCCTTATATCGTTTGCGCATCGTCTGTTTACCTGCAACAAATTATTGTACATCATAATATTATGCACATCGACATGCTGATGTGCAATAGAAGGGCATAAAAATTATTTTTGATTGAAAATTCAATGATTGCCATATATAATATCATATTATGTAATAAATAGATACAAACAATAAAAAATAAATTGCATTAATTCAAAATTGAATTGTAGTCATAATTATATAAATGTACGTACTTACATATAATACTATATAAATAAATGATAATATAAGTTAAAAAATAAATAAAGATACATATCAATAAGTTTTTGTTAAATTAGCATTTAAAGTTCAATTGTTGGCAAAACTCATCAAAACCTCAAATATTTTTTTTTTTATTTGTAAAAAGTTTTATTTTATTTATAGTCTAGTAACTAGACTCTAGTTAGTAGTTTTCGACGGTCGGGAGCCCATCGTAAATGATAGATACCATTATAAATTTAGAAAACAACTTGCGATGTTTGGTATACACCTTTTTTTCAGTTCTATTGTTAAATGATATTGATGCGCAAATGATGTACGACCTTTTAAACGGTCTATGCGCAAACCATATAGGTAACCCAAAAATCGAAAGATGCTCAACTGTCTTACACAAAAAAGGTCAAAATTAACAATTAACTATCGCCGAGAATAGTTACGTACCGATACTCGTATCGAAGTCTGACAACGGATCCGGTGCGTATCGCTTGTGAATTGCACGTGTAACTTAATGAACGCTCTTGAACTCCAATTTTTCCCTTGAAAATCTTGATTACTTAATACAGTCTCTTCGTTACTATATTTATACCTCACCTGCTAGCACAGTCGCACAGACCTAATCAAATTTACTTTTTGTCGGGCCGCGACATCGCTACGATTAATGACAATAGACGAAAAAACGGACACACCTGTACGATTATCATTATTGTGACGAGTAATCACTTTACGGCGGGTTCGTCTAGTCACATACAGATTAAGTACTCCACAGAATAATGATGATCGATGTGCATGTGTCCGTTTCTATCGTCGACGGAGGGTGTTTATTTGAAGGATGCTCGTAGTCAGGAAACTGGTCGATGTTTATTATTTTTAAAAATGAAACTTGTAATATATTACACAACATGAAACAATCATAATATAATGTGCGCTGTTATTGACTTAGAATATTTGAGTAAAGTTATATAATCACCCCATTATATAACGATTAAAACCGATAGGTCCGAAATATATGTTGACATCTGTGGCTACGTAATGGTCGATGCCTTTCGATTTTTAGGAGATATAAATGTCGTTTTTAATATTGTTAATTTGAAATATGTATACTGCGGTACAACTATAAAAAAACAACCTAAACCAAATGTCACACGTCTCCCCGAAATCACAGACGCGAGATTTGCGTGTTTTTTTTTTATTAGATATTCGGTTGTATTGACTCATTCTGATATTGACCCACAGCCCACGGTGTTGGCATTCCTAAGAAAAGTGAGTTCGCTTTGTCTCGCGTTCCCCAAGGATATAGTGAAGGGAGAAAAACCTTTGATCCGAGGTGTCACCCCTGCAGGCTGTAACTATATATAGTCACTGTATAATATTATTATTTTTATTATTACTGAGCACGAGTTTTTTTGTATCATATTTTGAACCAATTATTATTACATTTATAAAATACGATTTTAATGTCTGAGTGTAATAAATGTAATTTTTGTTTCAGGTTGATAACCATTCATTACAATTTTATAATATCCATATGTGTCGTGATTGTAATGTACACTATATTTTTTTATTGTTAAATAAATTCATGTACCTACACTGTACATACTATAGTATTTAATATTATATAGATTGAAATATTGAATATTTCTAAAAGTAAAAAAAAGAAGCATTTTAACCGTCTTTACATATACCTAAACTATATTGATGTATAACTGTGCAGGTGTAATATTATATTATATACCATTTTGAATTTATTATTGTAGTATACAATAGGTATAGGTACCTACACAATCAGCAATATTTAGAGTTGTGGCAGTATTGCATTTTATAATTTGTGATACTGCAGCCACAACTTCTGTATGAAATACAGTCACATCTCAAAATATGGCAGTCTTGCATTTACTTAAAAAATTATAAATGGCCACAAGTCTAAATTTTTGGGTTTAAGAGTGAATTTCAAAATATTTGAAAAATTAATATTATAAAGAATGATTGTAAGTATTTAAGTGTTAAATTTCAAACGCATAAGTAAAAAACTCATTAAAATATCTAAGGTCCAAACTTCAAATTGATTTTTCTCAAAACTATAAATTTTGAGTTGTAGCAGTCTTGTTCTAGGAGTGCGATATGTATATTGAACCCTTAGGTATTGCTCGAGGAGAAGACATTTAAGTCCTCACAAAAGAGATTGAAAATTGACCGAAATTGTTAATTTACATATATTATTAATATAGGTATGAGGTATATATTATGTGTTGGCCGTTGGACACATTACCTATAATATTTTTGCGAAATGTAAAATCAAAAACTTTCGATTATTATTATATTAGTGTATTAACCTCGTCGCAATCTAAGTATAAAATTACAATTAAGAAAGTCCCCTAGATTCGTTTTGTATTTTTATTATGTATTTCAGCTTGGCCAATGAAAACAAAAATGACTATAAAAATATTAGATAGGTATTTATACAAAATTACTGCAGTAGGTACTTGAATAAACGTATTAATTTATATAAAATAAATTAACTAAGGTGGTTAGGTTAGGTTAGGACTAAGGCGTCGGTTGCGACGCACACCAACGCCGGTTTGATACCTCGGCCATGGGCGGCATTTTTCTTCGGGCAAGTCACGGTGTCCGGAGAACAAGTGCCGCCATCCCCCACCCAGGCATGGCAGATACCTTACCTACTGGTGCCAAATCAAAAATTCTGCCAAAACAAACACACACGTGTGCCCCCCCCCCCTCCCACACCAACAAAAAATAGCTAATGGCCTAATTTGCCGGGCTCAAGCTCAATAAAAAAAAAAAAAAAATTTTAGTTATTTTCTTGCGACGTCGAAATACATAATATTAAAAAAATATCGGGGTCTTTTCAGTTTACCATTACAACATCAGGTAAAATAATTGTTGATAGTTAACATTTGGAACTCAAACTTTATTGGGAAGTACTCAATTATGGTGTGTAACAAAAAATGATAGAATACTTAGAAAATTAGATAAAATATTCGATAATATTCATTGGTTTATACTTGGGATGAGTATATACCAACTATATATTTATTTATTTATTTATTTATTTATTTATTAATTATAAACGGGCGTGAGCCCATGATACAGATATGTATGGTGTAATGTTGACAAAAATTACATACTAATTTTAAGTGTGGTACATCGGTACATGCTTACATGAGTTATATATAAAAACAAAATAAAAGATAATAGTATAATATTATGGAAGAAATGACGGGTCCTCATTGGCTAATTTCATCATACGGTTTATTGGCTCGTTTTGTAAATATTTTGTAGGATAAAGCGGAATAAAAAAAGTATGTGTGTTGCGGGTGCACTTAACAGGAACTTTAAAGTATATATATATAAATTTCAATTATAGTATTTTTGAAATTGGTTTCCTGTAAATATTGGGTGTTGCTATTTATTTGGATCATCCAAATTGGATGGTCATGAATTTTTAATTTTTGGATTTTTTAACATTTGTTTTTGAAAGGTTACTCAAATTGTGTCCCGATTTGAAAAATACCATCCACTAATTACTTGAATTTCTTTCTGTTTTCAGCTGGAATCGTCTCCGATTGCTATAAATATAATTTAACTAATCGATTTCTAGTTCAAATCACAAACTTTGATTTTTTTTGTAAAAATTAAAATCAATATTTATAATGAGCGCATCATACACCATACAAACAGTTAATCCAGAAGGATATAAGTCCGACATTACATCATAGGAAAAGTTAATAAATATTGAATACTAAATCAATGACGATTGGTTTAATTTCGATTTAAGTTAATAAATAATATTATAAATATTAACTTAAATTGACCAACTTCCAACACATATCGTTTAACATTGCAGATGTCGGATAAACAACAATCAGATATCCAACAATGGATGGTATAATGTAAATAATTAAATCTATTGATGCAAAATCGAGTCTAGATAACTGGAATCTCGAGGGGAATGAAAACAAATTAGGCTTGGGTATTTTTCGAGTTATACACCTCAAACACGACTCAAAAACACTTCAAGGGGCGAGAAAAAAGTTATCTGGGTGCGAGCTATCGAGACTCGACTGCGGATAAAATTATTATGCAATATATAAATAAAAAACTAGGTATTTGCTATGGCGGAAAGGGATTCGATTGAAAAAAGATCGCCTTTAGGATTTGGGCCCAATTTACAAACATCACATTATTATTGTATGATTATATTATTATATGACGTTGAACCAGGAAATCATTATGCATACCTTTCGTGCACTGGTCATAGGTACTTATTGCAATGTATATCGCGGAAGGTAGTCGTATAATGTTTTATGTTAACGAGGTATTATTAAACGAAACATGCAGTTGAAATCAAAAACCGAGAGTCTATTACAGAGGTTGTATACATTATAGGGTGTTGTGAATAATATTTAGAGACGGTCGTTGGTCACGATTCGTTCTGTTTTTATTGTTCGGTTGTATACTTACGTCCAATGCTCCGACGCAAGGGCACGATAATTAATGTAGGCATCAACACCCACCCACCCACCCACCAACTCACACATTTAGCCACCTTAACCTAGCCATCCTCTCGATAGTGATCTCACGTTTTTCATCTCTATACGTATTATTTTATGATTAAGTATAAAATAAATATATATATATATATATATATATATATATATATGTATATTTAATCTTTGGTATCAGCAATATAAATATATCATAAGTACTGCACTAACCGCTAATAAGATTTGCACAATCATATTTTATGTGCACGTTTAAAGTTACGATCCGTTTTGTCAAAAAAAAATAGCTTGTCGACGACTGTGGATATTATTTTAATAGGTTTACTCTGCAAGTTAATTGTAATAGTGAATTCATATTTTGACCAATTATATAGACCATAATAATATTGTTTTTGGTTTTTCAAACGGTTGATTGATTTTTTTTTTCCTAGTAGAAAAATAACGAGATAAGCAAAAAATAAACCATACCTTACAAAAGCTCAAAAATCACAGTGTGGCTGTGTGTTTCGTGCCAAGTATTGAATTTAGAACTATATTGTTCGAAAACGCCAAACATAATATAATCTTATAAGAGGACGTCACAAGCACATACATTAATGTCTGAGTGACAATTAATATTGTTGTCTCCGTAGTACAAGGTCGTAACATAGCAAATATTGTACTCTCGACAGGTCACTAGTAACTCGCCGTCAGTTTAAAAATAGAGTGAATGTACTCTTATGAAATTTATCGGTAAGATTTTTATCTAGGAAAACTCATAAGATTTTTGTTTTGTTTTAATTTTAAAGTGAGTCATGAGTATTTTAAAATTTTGAATTGCTTGTACCTATACATCATAAAATACTCATTGTCACGCAGTCGTAAGGTGGAGACGACAAAGGTCTGTGTAATGTCCTCTTAATCGACAAATTTATTATCCGATTACAATAGAGCAGGGGTCTCCAAACTTTTTTATTCAAGGGCCACAAAAAAAATCAAATGCTCTTAGCGGGCCAAAAGTTTATTAAAACATATAATTTTTAACTTTATGATAATATAGGTACCTATATAAATAATATATTTACTTTATATTTTTGTATAGAATATTGTTTACTTTACAATATACTTAAATAAAAATAAATAGGTATAAATATAATATAATATAAATACATTTTTGAAATAATTTTTTTATCTTTATTTACCTATGCGTCCTATGCGGGCCACGGGCCGGTTAAAACTTGTTCGCGGGCCGCATCCGGCCCGCGGGCCGTAGTTTGGAGACCCCTGCAATAGAGCGTCAGAGTTTTTGTGCCATAATATTATTATAATATTACTATATTGTATTAGTACTTAGTAAGCATTCGTGCATATAAGATGTACTGAAAATTAATTTTACAAACACAATCATACAAGTACAAATTTTATGTATTTTGTTTGATGAATGAAAATATAGGTACTTAAGAGAAATTGACAGTGCAGGTTATAATATGACGTGTCATTGAGGTGTTCCGTAAAGTAATTATTGTCTGAAAGAATAGAAATGAATAAAATATCTATGACTAGAATAATTATTCGTGTAAGTGGGGAGCATTTTAAAGAAAAATATAGTGAAGCTCAGTGTCATATTATATAACTTGTAAATTATTATTATATGTACATTTATTTTTATTCATTGTTATTATTTTATTGTCACGATTATAATTTCATATATATTTTTTTATTTTTTTTTTATTTGATCTTAAGTCCGGCCACTATGGCCATTAGCTGTTTTGGTTTTGTAGGTTTTTATTTCGGTAGGGGGAGGTACACACTACACGTGTGTGTTTTTGTTTGGCAGATTTGTTTAATTGGGCACCCGTAGGTATCTGCCATGCCCGGGTGGGGGATGGCGGCACTTGTTCTCCGGACACCGAGACTTGAGCGAAGAAAAATGCCGCCCATGGCCGAGGTATCAAACCGGCGGCGGTTGCGTCGCAGCCGACTCCTTAGACCGCTCTGCCACTCCGTCCCTCAAATGTCATAAATTATATTGGGTACAATTTTATATTGTTGGATAGGTTACTAATAGGTACTCTTTTTACACCTTTGGCGCTCATATCATAATATAACCGTTCCATTGACTATAATACACAAGTCACTAAGACAAATACATTAACATATTTTCGTATATTATCATAAATTATATAGTATTGGGAAGTAGCTTACAAATTAAACATATATTTATTGGATATGCATAAACATAGTGGAAGTTTATTCACATGGTATACTTATACACATTATGTTCCAATTAAATTATTAAATTACATTTGCATATTTTGTATTATGAGCAACCTTTATTGGTGTCATGCCTAATTATATACTAATATGTACTTCGAAAACATATTCCAATGTGACGACCAACATACACAACAGAATTCAAGGCTAAAGAGAAATATTAAAATCTATGAAAACGGAATAAATCATCATAATCTACACTATTAATGATGATATTAATTCGCAGAATGAGGTTTTCAATTCTTTATTGACTGAACATTAGCCACCATTTCTTCCGTAAGTGCTTATCCATAATTTTTTTTAAACATTTTTTTTTGTTTTTTTTTTTTTTATTCAAGTCGGTGATATTCTCTTCTGATTTGTATATAGAAATTAACTTTATAATCAATAATTGGTGAGACAAAAAAAGAACGATGACGAGTACTGGCGAATCTATTAGTGAAATACAAACATTTTTTAAAGGTACTAACGTTTTCGTAACTGGTGCTACTGGATTCATTGGACACGTTCTAGTCGAAAAACTTCTTAGGTACTTATATTACATACATTAATTTTTGTTTGGTGATACATTCTTCAAATAAATGTTGTTTATTCACACGTTCGTTGAATCGTAGGTTGTATGGGATTTGTATATATCGTATGAGAATAATAATAGATCATAGTATAAACCATAAACCATTAGTAACTCGAGTGTAAACACGCAGTAGGAAACGTTTAAAATATATTTAGGTAACTTAAATTGTATATAATGATGATATTAGTGTCTAATAATCTATCATAATGATAGTATGTCATGTTTTTTCAATAGCCGGAAGATGCAGGATTTACCTGTGGGTCTGTGGCCGAAGAATATCTCAAAAGTGGGAGTTTAATAATGGGTACCTATAATAGCTATCCGGCTATGCAATCGTGTCAACAAACAGTATAGGTTTATTTAATTGGTCGTAAGAAGTATCTATGTTAATGGCATGCTTGCTGTACGATGTTGAGTCGAGAACAACCTTTTAATTTTCAGCTTTTTTATTGTCTTGCGATTGTTTTTACTAAAAAATGCCACCTTTGTATTTTATATCAACGAGACACTGCGTTATTTTTTAAAATACATGGTCTTATACGGGTAAAGCGTCGTCATAAGAAAAAATGAGGCTCCATGACCGATATAAAGTTTTATGTGCAATGTGCATTGTTTTCCATCGTTAACTGATACTATTCAATATCATATAATATCATTCAACGATATTCGATTATATTACATGGATTCAACAAATCATTTTGACTATAAGTTTTTAGATTCTGAGCGGAGCAAGGAAGCTGCAGTGGTTGTTCAATGGTGTTTTTTTTTTTATCCTGTGTACACCATTTCTACCACAAGGAGTGCTTCGATTTCAACATACAGTATCTTGTCTTTTAGAACGTTTGATCAAGATGGTACTTTAAAGAGGTCATTTTCTCAATAGTTATTTAATGCCACGGGAAAAACCACCGACAAATTACGAAAAACCGCTAAAAACGAGTTTTTAATTTCTAACGCTTTGTATATGGCCATCATAAAAAAGAATAAAAAAAGCCGGTAAGTCGAAGTCGCAGTACAGTAGGTTACAAGTGGATCAATCTATAATGGATTGTAATAAACTTGAATTCAATGGTATACAATCATTGTATAAGAAAAACGATTCTGAGCGGAGACGGTTTGTCAGTCTGGATATTTTATATTGTTTTTTTATTTCATTATAGCCTGTAGATTGAATTGATATTATAATATTATAATATTTTGTTCGTTTCTATGGTGTAGACAAAGCGTTAGAAATTAAAATCCCATTTTTAGTGGTTTTTTTTTCTAGTGGTTTTTCCCGTGGCGTTAAATAATTATTGAGAAAATCGAAAAGTGACCTCTTTAAAATATCATCTTGATCCAATTTGCTAAAAGATAAGATACTATATGTTAAAATCGAAGCACTCCTTCTGGTAGAAATTTTATATACAGGATAAAAAAAAAAAAAAAATAAACACCGTTGTAAAACCACTAGCTTCCTCGCTCCGCTCAGAATCTAATAATAATATTAATTCAACTTACGGGCTACAGTAAATAATAGCAATATAAAATATCCAGACTGACAGTCACCTCTCAGAATCATTTTTCTTATACAATGATATTATATAGTTTTATACAATCCATCATTACAGTGACCCACTTAATCAGAGCAACATCCACTCACCCTCTTTTTTTTAAATTTAAATTTATACTGCTGTCTCGCAATGGTCGTATTAAGTAATTGGCTCTTTGTGTATATCAGTTTATTTATTCATTTCGAAGTTACAGAATTAATGATACCATTTTAAATTAAATATTTGAGTTAGTAATATAAAATCGAAATATAAATTTCACTAGTTTATGACTTACTGGAATAGGCGTACGAGTATTAAGAGCTTATAATATTATACACTATACACCACTTCAGTTGTCTGTCTAGACTTACGAAATTATAATATTGGTATACGACAAGCCTTTATGCTTTTATGCCCAATAAACGTGTTAAAAAGTTGAAGTTAACTTAACTGAGTTGAAAAAAAAATTAGGATAACTATTAACTTTAAACTTAATAAAATGTTTTCAATCAACTTGACTTATTAAAAATTATCATAATTTTCCCAGGCTTGGTATAAGATACGTGTACCGATGATTGAATTAGTGCTTTAACCTAACCTCGATGAACTATGTCGATCGTGACTTGTAGGACTGTCAAATAAAGAATATTATACCAGGTTCATTCTTAGGTGTTATTTCATTCCAAAATACTGTTTCCGAGCTTGTACCAACGTCGACATTCCCTATGTATAGTCGCAGATTGCGGATACCAATAAGCTTCTGCAATTCTGCATGTATGGTGTACCTTATGGTTTTCTTAGATTCCGAATCGTCGTCGCATTATTATTATTACTATTTTTTCTTCCAGAACATGTTTCGTGAACAAGGTGTACCTCCTGGTCAGGCCGAAGAAAAACAAAGACCCTCAGACTCGGTTACGCGAAATGTTCAGTTCCACGGTGAGTTATTCGTGCTTGCAGCTGTCGTTTGGACTTGAAATGTTCGGCGGTCGCGATAAATCGCAATAACCACCGATTTTTGCAGCTGTTCACGCGACTGTGGGACGAGCAACCGGAGTTCATCGAAAAAGTGTTGCTCATCAGTGGCGATTGTGCGGAACCGAATATGGGTCTCTCGCTGGCCGACGAAGAGTTTATGGTCGCCAACATTGACATCGTCATCCACTGCGCCGCCACGATCAGTCTCAACGGGCCGCTCAAGCACACGAGTTTCATAAACGTCAGGGCCACCCGAGATTTGCTGTTGATCGCCCGGCGCATGCGCAAACTCAAAGTAATAATTATAATATAATATGACCATTCGGGGTAACGAATTCGGGACGGCTTGAATATTTTATGAGGCAGCTGCCGTGGGGGTGGGCACCCCAGTGACTCTGTTATTATTTATCACTCTGAATCTTTTATAATTATTATTTATTTAGACAAACAATAAAACCATACAACATAATATTCAAACAATATAACTTATAACAGACTTATCACAGACTCCTGCAGTCTCCCAGACCTCGACGGCTAAACTAATTTGTAATTTATACTCGCATCATAGTTAGGTGCATACGAAATACGTTTGAAATGTGTGAAAAGATAAGTGTAAATTGTGAAAAAATTTGAGTGTGGGTACTTATTTAAAGCACTCAGTTGCTTCATAGGAAAAAAAGTTGACGCAGCCATTCGGGGTTGCACGATCAATTGGTGTAGTAGTAAGTACGATCGATTACCGATGTTTATATAATAATATAAAGCTCTCTCTCATATAACCATCATTTTGGTGATGTAGTCATTGGCAGAGCATTAAAGGTCTTGGGTTTTATTAAGCTTAACACCAGCCTCTTCAAGTCAGCTAATTCTCTTCGTTCTTGGTATTGTGCTCTATATAGTCCGAACTATTATTGAATACGGTGCTGTCATCTGACATACCTGTCTAAGGACCAAATACGAATCGGGTGTGTCCAGCATAGATTCTTGTCCTATGCCACTTTTAAACTTAATTTGCCATCTCCACAACATGATTAGGTACACCTTTATTTCTGGTATCTTAAAATTTACCAACCCAGACTTCACGCCGGAATGATGCGGACCTCCGATTTACCCACGCTCTCTTCAACAATTTATTAGATGCTCTTGACCTTCTCTCTTGTGTTTTTTTTAAGTTCCCTCTCACAACACCAGAAATCAAACTTCTTTTTATATTCCTTCTCACTCAACTTCCTTAACTCTCCAAAATCATCCATCACATAGAATGCTTAGGTTGGACAACCTAGAATGACCTTTGTCGACATACTATATTTATATTTACTTGATCTAATATTATCTATTGTTATCATTTGTTATATATATATATTACCGTTCATAATGTTTTGTTAAGTTTATCACAATATTATCTTGTTCATTATATTTTTAATGGGCGTTTGGCGTAAATATTCAAAAATAAAATATGTACATAATATTATAGTCATTTGTGCACGTGTCCACTGCGTTTGTGAACCCCAATCAAGCGATTACCGAAGAAATAATTTACGATTGTCACATACGAGGGGACGCTTTGATCAACTTGGTCGAAAACATGTCCGATTCGATTTTGAACTCGATAACACCCGAGTAAGTCCCAACATTTTATATATTTTACGCTTATCTGCAACGGTATAGGGCATCATAATATGCGTCCGTCTACACAATGATATTTTGCATGTTTCCATATTGTTTTAATCCGAATTGTCCATGTGTTGTAAGATGTTTAGGATCGTGGCCGAACACTTACACGCTGTCGAAGTGCGTCGCGGAGAATCTCGTAAAGGAATATGGTCAAAACATGCCAATATGTATCGCCAGACCGTGCATTGGTAACTATATAATATATATATATATATATATATAATATATATCATAATATTAATATATATTGTACGTAAACGTTCAAAAACGGTTCGAGAAAATAATATCGTTATTTTTAAATGCGTTTGTAATTTGCATCAAAATAAGGGTAAGTAATTTGCACCACCCTCAGATAGTAAGAAATAGGAATTGTAATTTGCACCAAAATTAAAATCGATTATTTTTTTAATAGTATACAAATAAATTTGGTCGATAGTACCAACTTACAAGTTTCTATATCCTAATATAACTTTAGCTTAGTTTTTATCTATAAAAAGCTGAGCGTATATTAAGCTTATATAAAATCGTATAATTATAAAAGTTGGTCAATTAAAATAATTATATGTAAAATTAAAAAAAAAACAAATGCATACAAAAAAATTATGTACCTAATTTTATTGAATCAGTCTTTGATTTACAAATTATAAGCATATGATATGTGTTTACATAAGAGGATGAATAATGTACAACAAAACTATTTTTGTCAAAAATGTAACTTGGATCCTTTTCAACAAATCACCATTCAAATATACGTCATTGAGATAGCACATTATATATATAATATATTATATTATAGGTTAACCTAACCTAACCTAATATATTATATTATATATACGTTATATATATAAAACTGAAATCAAGCAAAAGAGGAAATCTTTGTTACGGTTTGGCTTCGAAACTTCTTATCCAATTGTCATGCATTTTTTTTAATGAAAGAGGATATCACGGAGCAGGTTTTAGGCATAAATAAAGTCCGATAATGTTAGTCAATAATTAGTTATCTATATATATAAATATGGAGAGTGAAAAATGTCGTTACATCATCAATCGAGAACGGCTGGTCCGATTTGGCTCAATTTTTTTTTAAGATGTTCGTAATTACCAGGAGAAGGTTTTTACGAAAGAAAATTTTAAGAAAATCCATCGGAAAATTAGGAAATCTGGATGTAAAGAATACAACAGTAGAGCAAAACAGTGTATATATATTGGTTGCTATTGGTTAATCGGGCATGTTTGTTGATTTGTATTATTTTTTATAAATATATATACATATAAATGAATGTTTATGTATAGAATAAACCTCTGGGAAGAAGACAGGCTATTTAAAAATGGTTAAATTTGGTTTTTTTTATTCATCTGATATTAGTACGGTTAGGTTAGGTTAGGATTTTGTATTAATAGATTATATTAATCCATTATAGGTGGAACACGACAAATTTTCTATAATTTTAATACATAAGAGTTAAATCATACAGTTACGTACAAACAGCACGGGGTCCGCGATCTAGATTGCCTACCTGATAATATACTGCTGCAAATTAGAATTTTTATTCCGGCCAACGAAAAAGTTAAGATACATTTTGAACACCATACACCGAATATTATAAATAACGAATTGAACACAGTTTGAGGCATATAGAGTTGGTACATTGAACGGGAAACGAAGTGCACGGGATCAGCTATAATATAAATAATAATACAAATATCGATAATGCAGGGCTTGAAATCGATTAATATCGATAAAAATAGAAAAAAAAAGGTGGGCAAGTGGGTGTCGCTCTGCTGTACAGTAGGTTACAAGTGGGTCACTGTATAATGGATGATATTAAATTTGAATTCAACGATATAATATCATTGTATAAGAAAAACGATTCTGAGCGGAGACGGTATGTCAGTCTATGTTTAAGACATATTATATACATATCTATGGTATTAAACAAAAAATTGACCTATAATAGGTACCTATAATAAATTCCAAATTAATCATATCACAATGTCCATTAGGTACTTATAACGCGTTATACATCAACAAAACCGTGATACTATCATAGATATATAATAGTACACTTTAGAAGTTTCAAGTACCCACGAATAATATTATTCAATCACAACAAAATAACTAAAATAGTTATTCTAGGTTTTTTAATATGTAATTTCGTCCAAATTTGAATTTAAAATGTCTGTAAAAAATAACTGTGTTCATATATTTTTTAGATTTTTTGGTTACAGTATGAACTATTTATGAGAACCTTTGTTTTAAATTTGCAATCCTTAGCTATAAAAACTGAACATTTTATAATTTATTAATTTCAATGATTGATAATTTTCGAGATTTTGATAAATTTTGTCAAAATTTGATCTTTAAATGCTTATAAAAAAAAACTGTGCCTATGTATTTTTAATATTTTTCAACTGCTATTGTAACAGTATATCAGGAGCCTTGTATTAAATTTTTACACTTTTTGGCCCAACAGATAAAACTTTATTGGTATTTATAGAAAAAAACTAAAAAAATTTAAAACTGAAAATGTCCGTAAACAGTTCAAAAAGAGTCAAAGTATTTTCAAAATTGTATGGTATATAGAAAATGGAAATATGAGCGTCCAGTCAAATTTTCATACATATACAGTTATTCGTTTTTGAATTACAACAAAATAAGGAAATCGCTACATGAAAAATCGAGTGAATATCCAATGTTGTAAAAATTTGAATCTCAAACGCTCCTAAAATTTTAATATGACTTTCTTATACAATTTTTTATTTTTGATAAAGGTAGATAATCTTATAAGGAATCTTGTGTTAAATTTTCAAATCTTAGATTTAAAAAGAAAATTTTTACGAATTCTTAACTCAAAATAATTTGCTAATTTTCGTGATTTTTCCATATTTTGTCAATTTTTGAACTTTAAGTGCTTATAAAAAAAAATTGTGACTAAGGATTTTTAATATTTTTCATCTGCCTTTGAAACAATATACTAGGAGTCTTTTATTAAATTTTCAAGTTTTTTAACCAACAAATAAAATTTTATTGATATTTCTAAAAAAAAAACTAAAAAAAAATGAAAAATGAAAATGTCCCTAAACAGTTAAAAATAAATCAAAATATTTTGAAAATGTTATCGTGTATAGAAAATGCAAATATAAACAACCAGTGAAAATTTCATGTATATACGTTCATTTGTTTTAGAGTTACACCAAAAACCAAAATCGATTTTTTGGAAAACCAATTTTGCGTAAAAATTCCCGTTTTTCCTTAATTTTTATGTTGTTTTTCCCGGCGCTTGTGAAAACTACTGGGAAATTTATACTTTTGACCCCCCAAAGTACCAACTAGATTCACTTTCCTATCAGAAAAGCTACTGATGAAGAAAATCCAAGCACTTTTACTGTCCTAAAACGTGATGACAGACACAAAAATAAAAAAAAAAAGGTGGGTAAGTGGATGTCGCTCTGCTGTACAGTAGGTTACAAGTGGGTCACTGTATAATTGATGCTATTAAATTTGAATTCAATGATACAATATCATTGTATAAGAAAAACGATTCTGAGCGAAGACGGTATGTCAGTCTAGGTTAAGACAAATTATATACATATCTATGGTATTAAAAAAAAATTGACCTATAATAAATTCCAAATTAATCATATCACAATATCCATTAGGTACTTATAACACGTTATACACCAACAACAAACCCTGATACTATCATATATATATAATAGTACACTTTAGAAGTTTCAAGTAGGTACCCACGAATAATATTATATAATCACAACAAAATAACTAGGTTTTTTAATATGTAATTTCGTCCAAATTTGAACATAAAATGACTATAAAAGTAAACTGTGATTGTATATTTTTTAGATTTTTCGGTAAGAGAATTAACTACTTACGTGGAATCTTGTTTTAAATTTTCAATCCTTAGCTATAAAAACTGAACATTTTATAATTTATTAATTACGATGATTAATAATTTTCAAGATTTTGAAAAATTCTATCAAAATTCGATGTTAAAATGCTTATAAAAAAAAATTGTGCCTATGTATTTTTAATATTTTTCAACTGATATTGTAACAATATATCAGGAGCCTTGTATTAAATTTTTACACTTTTTGGACCAACAGATAAAACTTAATTGATATTTATAGAAAAAAAAAACTAAAAAAATTGAAAACTGAAAATGTCCGTAAACGGCTCAAAAAGTGTCAAAATATTTTCAAAATTGTAGGGTGTATAGGAAATGCTAATATAAACATTCAGTGAAATTTTCATGTATCTACAGTAATTCGTTTTTTAATTACAACAAAAAAAGGAAATTGCCACATGAGAAATCGAGTGAATATCCAATGTTGTAAAAATTTGAATTTCAAACGCTCATAAAAATTTAATTTGACTTTCCGGTAGAAATTTTTTATTGATAAAGGTAGACAATCTTATGAGTAATCTTGTATTAGATTTTCAAATCTTAGATTTAAAAAGAAAAATTTTTACGAATTCTTAACTCAAAATAATTTGCTAATTTTCGTGATTTTTCCATATTTTGTCAATTTTTGAACTTTAAATGCTTATAAAAAAAAATTGTGACTAAGGATTTTTAATATTTTTCATCTGCCTTTGAAACAACATATTAGGAGCCTTCTATTAAATTTTCAAGCTTTCGCAACCAACAAATAAAATTTTATTGATATTTCTAGAAAAAAAACTAAAAAAAAACTAAAAATGAAAATGTCCCTAAACTGTTCAAAATAAATCAAAATATTTTGAAAATGTTATCGTGTATAGAAGATGCAAATATAAACAACCAGTGAAAATTGCATGTGCCTACGGTCATTTGTTTTAAAGTTACACCAAAAACCAAATTCAATTTTCTGAAAAATCGATTTTGCGTAAAAATTCCCGTTTTTCCTTAATTTTTCTTTTGTTTTTCCCGGCGCTCTTGAAAACTACTGGGAAATTTAAATTTTGACCTCCCCAATGCACCAACGATATTCACTTTCCAATCGAACAAGATACTGAAGTCGAAAATCGAAGCATTATTTCGACTACTTATCGTGTACACAGACACAAAAAAAAATAAATATAAAAATAAAAAAAAAAATAAAAAAAAACACACACATCATTGTAAAATCAATACATTCATCGTTTCACTCAGAATCTAAAAGGTGGGTAAGTGGATGTCGCTCTGCTGTACAGTAGGTTACAAGTGGGTCACTGTATAATGGATGCTTTAAATTTGAATTCAATGGTACAATATCATTGTATAAGAAAAACGATTCTGAGCGAAGACGGTATGTCAGTCTAGGTTTAAGACAAATTATATACATATCTATGGTATTAAAAGAAAATTGACCTATAATAAATTCCAAATTAATCATATCACATTATCACAATATCCATTAGGTACTTATAACACGTTATACATCAACATCAATAACAAACCCTGCTACTATCATAGATATATAATAGTACACTTTAGAAGTTTCAAGTAGGTACCCCCGAATAATATTATATAATCACAACAAAATAACTAGGTTTTTTAATATGTAATTTCGTCCAAATTTGAACATAAAATGACTATGAAAAATAACTGTGCTCATATATTTTTTAGATTTTTTGGCTACAGTATGAACTATTTATGAGAATCTTTTTTTCAAATTTTCAATCCTTAGCTATAAAAAACTGAACATTTTATAATTTATTAATTTCAATGATTGATAATTTTCGAGATTTTGATAAATTTTGTCAAAATGCGATCTTTAAATGCTTATAAAAAAAAATTGTGCCTATGTATTTTTAATATTTTTCAATTGCTATTGTGACAATATATCAGGAGCCTTGTATTAATTTTTTACACTTTTTGGCCCAACAGATAAAACTTTATTGATATTTGACGGGCAACAAGTCATAACGTGGTATTGCCATTTTTATCAAAATTGAGTTATACATCGATTCTAATTGAAAATATGGCGGGAAGTTCATTTCTGTCATTAATTCGTTGCTAACTTCACTTATATTAAAGAAAAATGCAATTCAAAAAGTGTAATTTAGGTCAAAACGTTGTATTTCCATACTCCTTTTTTTTCATAACGTGTTAATTCCATTTTTGTGTCAAAACGTATTATTTCCTATACATAAGGTATAGGGTTCAATATCCTGTTTTCTCAAAAGGTGTCAATTCCAATACATTTTTTCAGAACGTATTATTTCCATAAATTGTGACATAACGTAGTATTTCCCATGCTAAATATCCGAAGCAACGTGTAATTTTTATCAAAACGTATTATTACCAAAATAAATATTATTCCGGTTTGAAAAATAATAAAGTTTTAAGTTTTTGTAAATACACAGCTGTGCGCTGGCAGTGAATGTGTTATCATTTAATAAGTAAACAAACATTCCGATATTTCTAAAAATAGTTTATTCCTTTAAGTATATTGGTTTGTGTATAGCGAGTTATCAAATTATGTGTGTTGTGGTAATGTGATACCATAAATATTTTAATGTCACCTACCGAAGTTCTGAATAATAATTATTATTGTTCTGTCGTTCAAATGTTCAATATAATAATATAGGTAATTTATTATTATAATACCTATTATATGAATTACTTTCCTTTGCAATACAATTGAAATTAGAATGAAACGCTCAAGAAGAATGATTGAAGCTGCTAAAAAGGTAAGAAGTAACCAAAATACTGAAATAGACACGTTTTTATAAATGTTGGTTTATAAATTAAATAATAGGTCTCCAGAAATCTTTTTCCACCTTCAACTCAAGCAGGGAAGCGTGATATTGATAAATTAGCCAATAAAACTGAAGTAAGTAGGATATTTTACCTTATAATAAAATTAATATTAAAATATATATTTGACATAATTATATATTTCTTTAGATATTGTTAAAACTAATGTTTATTTGTTTAAATATTATACCCTATTCTGTCATAATACTGTACCGTTTTGATAAATTAATACTCCTTTCCCTAATACCTCTACTAAAATGTTAAATGGTAGGTAATAAATTAATATTGTGTATTTTTTTAAATTATTATTATAAAGATTATTCATCAATATTCAATAATACTTATTAGTAATAACTAATAAGTTAAATAGGTAGTTACTTAAAAGGTACCTAATATTAATAATTTAAAAACATTTACTAATATTTTATGTGCCTTGTGTACAAATAAATAAATATTAAAATGTATAATGTAAATTCATCTAAAGTTAGTAGGAGGTAGTTGACGTACATTTTACAAAAAGAGAAATTATAATTTTTTTTTTTTATTAAGTCAATATTATATTAAGCTCCAAAATCTTTTAAAATGTAGAAAAAAAGTTAGACTAGTGATGAAAACATGGATTTCTGAACCTATAAGAAAATTTATTATTTAATATTTATTTTAAAATCTCTATCTTAATATTTTACTGTTGTATATATATTTGTATTGATTTATTTTTTTTATATTTATGAATGTAGATCAGTATGTATATCATATGTATTTTTGTCTAGGATAAAATTAATGAGTGGTTAATGTCTTGTGAAAAAAAATCATTCAGTAACAGCAGCAAATCTAACTCCATTAAAGTATAATAATATATTAAAAATTAGATACAATAAATTATAGAAAAATATGTGTCCTAGCAAATTTTAATCACACAACAACTAATATTATATTATTATATTTTAGGATACTGCTTATGAAGAACAAAACAAAATTGATTTATCTGTCAACAAAATCGATGAAAATGTATTCAATGTATGCAAATATAATAATATAGTCTTAGGGTAATTGAAATAATTATTAAAAGAGTATTTTTTGTCTTGTAGGACAAAGTTACAAATTGGTTAAATGCATGTCAACCACTGAATTATAACAACTCGAGAGACATTATTAATATGGTGAGATTGTTTAAGTGGAGTTACCTATTTATTGAATTAAGCTAATGTTTGAAATTATATTTAATATTTTTAGAACCAGGATCTTCTGAATATTAGTGAAAATACAGAGCTTACAGACACTTTATTATTTTCAAATACTCCTGAGGTAAAAATATGAAAATTGTATTAATTTTTACATTATTTTAATTAGTGTTATTTAATATATATATAGAATGATCTAGACATCCAAGAAATGGATTTTATTTACAACAATGATGAAGTAGTTCCTGACAATAACACACCACTTGATGACTTGTTTCCTATTGTTATACAAATACCATGCACTACTGATCTTCAAATAACTGAACATGATACACCTGCTAAAATCTCAAACATAAGTTCAAATCCTGAGTATGCTGAACCTGTACAGACAAATCCAAGTGGTAGAAAAAGAAATAAAATAAATCAAAAGAAAATAAGACAAATACAATTAAACAAAATTCCTCATGAGTGGTTACTTACATGTCCTCACTCCAATAAAGTATCAAAAAAATGTAATGTATCAATTTTAAAGCCAACTGATATAAGCGCTTTCAAAACAAATTTATGTGATTTATCTTCCAAAATAGAACAAGATAAATTCCTCCTTACAATGATGAAAATTAAATGTCCAATGAGAACGGATCGTCGCAAAGGAAACAAAGAAGAAAAAACAGTGATTGTTTATTATTTGCCTACAGAAAAAGGTGACCTTCTTCAAGTCTGTTCAATTGCATTTACTGACATTACAAGAATTACAAAAAGGCGTTTAAATATACTAGCTTTAAACTTCAAAAAAAGTCATAGTAGCCCCAAAGAAAAAAGAGGAGGATTTAGTATTACAAGGGTAAATACATTTGACGAAATAACTATATCTATTAAAAACCATATAGAATCTTTTAAAAGTAAAAAGAGTCATTATTGTAGAGAAGATACAGGCCGTAGTTACTTGCAACCCGGTTTATCTGTGGCAGTTATGTGGAAACATTGGAAGAAAAAGAGGGAAGTTAGTAATCAATCTACTGCATCTCTAAGTAAATATTATGATGTTTTTTGTAATAATTTTAATTTGAGTTTTGGACATCCGAGACAAGATGTCTGTTCATTTTGTTCTGAAACTTCAATTAAAATAAAAAATGAAATTGATATTCAGAAAAAAGTTGATTTGGAAGATGTATTATTGGAACACAAAAATAAATCAAAATGTTTTTCTCGAATGATGGCAGAAAAATTACCGAATACTGTTCAGGTATGTTTTGATATGATGCAAAATCAACCGCTTCCTAAACTGAGTGTCACAGATACATTTTATAGTAGGCAAGCATGGGTCTATAACCTTACTTTTGTTATAATGTCAGAGAATGACCAAAGTAAAGATAACTGCTACTTATATACATGGCATGAAGGTGAAAGTGGTCGTGGACCAAATGAGATTGGATCAGCTTTGTTAAACTTTTTGGACATTCTTGAAGAACGGTTCAAAACAGAGCTAAGACCGCCCACGAACCTTAACCTTTATTCCGACTCATGCTCTGGTCAAAATAAAAATAAATTTATAATGGGTTTATTACTTTATTATATGAATTGTAAAGAGACTATATTTGATAAAATCAAACACATTTGTCGGGGCCAAAGAGGATATTAAGTAATTAAAGTCCGTACTTTGGTTTAATAATATTTATTGTTTTTAATCGAATAAACGCGGAATACATGTATAATAATTTTAATGCAATACTACGTAATGTGCCGAACGGTGTCTTTCGTCTGCTAGCTATGACGCTACTAATTTAATGTTCACGTACGGTGCGACAGAGTCGTCCGACCGACGTTTTATCTAAATTATCGATCTACCTGCTGTAGCGATAATATTATTGTATTGGCTCCAACACACCGCCCCACATTTTACGCTTGCGTAAAATTTCAGCAAAACTAATGTACTGACCTTGTTACATAATTAAGAAATTGGTAATTAAAAAAAAAAATAATAATAATTCAATAGCTGTGGATCGCTTATTAATACAAGTAAGAAATTAATAAATTATAGTGGACAAATACACTTATTACATAAAGAAATAATACATAATCAAATTCACATAAACATAAGCTACTTAATCATCAAGTGGCAAGGGACACAAGTTTCTAACGGCTTGTTTGGACTGACCCCTTTCCGTTCTCACAGTGACCACGCGAATGACATCGTCCTGACCGGGGTGTAATTCGATAATTCGACCCAGTCGCCACTGTGTAGGTGCCAAATTAGGTTCCCTTATGACCACCAACAAATCCTTTTTTACCGATGGACCATTTTTTGATGACCACTTGGTTCGTCCCTGTAATTGGCTAAGATACTCCCGACTCCAACGCTGCCAAATTTGCTGTGTCAGTTGAGTTACCAATTGCCAGCGGCGAAGACGGTTGGTTGGCACGTTTGCCACGTCTTTATCTGGTAAACAAGTCAGAGAGCCACCAACAAGGAAATGCCCAGGCGTGAGCACATTTAGATCGGATGGATCAGAAGATAACGGGGATAAAGGACGGGAGTTCAAGCAAGCTTCTATACGGTTTAATACGGTGTATAGTTCTTCAAACGTTAAAGCTGTACTACCTAGCTGCCTGACTAAGTGATGTTTTATCGACTTAACGGCGCTTTCCCACAATCCGCCGAAATGAGGGCTATATACGGGAATGAATTTCCAATTTATTCCAACTTCGGTCACGCAACGTTGCACTTTCGCTTGGTGTTCCTTGGAACCAAACAAATCGCATAATTCTTTTAACTTTCGATTGGCTCCAACGAAGTTTTTGCCATTGTCGGACCATAATGTTGTACAGTACCCGCGCCTTGACCAAAATCTTCGGAGCGCGGCTAAGAAAGCATCCGTGCTTAGATCGCTCACCAACTCTATGTGTACTGCCTTGGTGGCAAAACACACGAACACACATATATATGCTTTTAATATCGGCGCATTACGGCGAGCGCTCGTCTTGATTTTTATAGGACCGGCAAAATCCATACCAGTGGTCGCAAATGCGCGGCCGGGTTGCATGCGTGCTTTTGGCAGGTCACCCATAACTGGTTGGAATGTAAAAGGTTTGGTTTTAAAACAAATAACGCATTTGTTTACCACTGATCTGGCGATATTTCTGCCGTTTAATGGCCAATATTGATCCCTAATTGTCGCTAATAGCGCTTGAGGACCTACATGTATTTGGCGATAATGTTCGTGCATAAATATCAATATTGTTAATTTGGACTGTGCAGGTAATAATACTGGGTTTCGCTTATCGGCGTTGATTGATTGCATATTGTTCAGACGCCCGCCAACCCGTAATATACCGTCCTTATCGATATACGGGCACAATAATTTCAACTTACTTCGTTTATTAACATTTTGTTTTGCAATTAAACATTTAATTTCATCATGAAAATATTGTCCTTGTACCAATTTAATTAATACATTTTTAGCGGCATCGAGTTCTTCCGTATTGATTTCCGCCGTGAAATGCTTATTTTTACTATTGTACGTTTTCCAACGCATGCAATACGCCGTAATACGAAGTAATTTTTGTAAACATGAATATTTTTCAATTAAACCGTATTCGACCTTTGTAGTCAGCACGACAGGTCTTTCACCTTTAAATTCTGGCATTTCTTCGGGTGGTAACGGCACCTTTTCTTTAGCATTTGGCCACGAATTTTCATCTGCCTGCAGCCATTGTGGGCCTTCCCACCACAGTTTATGTTCACGTAACTGTTTTGGACTACAGCCTCTGGAAAGTACATCCGCGGGATTGTCTTCGGACTTAACGTGTGCCCATTCCGTTACAGCGGAAAACTGTTGTACTTCTCCGACTCTGTGCGCCACGAAGGTTTTCCATTTGGACGCCGGTGAACTTATCCACGCCAAAACTATTGTAGAGTCTGACCAAAAATAACGTCGAACACAATTTACGCGCAAACTGGGCAGTATTTTATTAACTAAGCGCACGAGTAAGACTGCCGCACACAATTCTAATTTTGCCAAAGAAATTACCTTTAGTGGGGCTACTCGTGATTTGGCGGCAATTAAGCGTGTGACGTGATTGCCGTACTCGTCTGTCGCGCGTAAATACATCGCTGCCGCGTATGCTTTTATTGACGCGTCCGCGAAACCGTGTATTTGTATATGGAGCGCATTGTTAACTCCCATTACGCACCGCGGTATTCGTATTTGTTCTATTTCAGGTAACTCTTCATAGTACGTGTTCCATTCGACGTATAATGGTGGCGGTAGTTTTTCGTCCCAGCCGATTTTATTTGTCCATAATTGTTGCATGAAAATCTTTGCTTTTACTACGACTGGGCCGATTAATGACAACGGATCAAATATTGTTGCGATCGCGGATAGTACCGTACGTTTCGTAATGACCTTGTCATTGTTTACTTTTTCGAACTTATATGTATATGTGTCGTTACACGGATTCCAGCTCATGCCCAGCGTTTTTACGGCGCTACCGTCTAAATTTAACACCCGCAGCGGGTCGTCGTCGTCATTAGGAATTCCGGTTAATAGACGTTTATCGTTCGACACCCACTTCCTTAAATTAAATCCCGACGAGTTTGTTATCGCCACTATTTCGTTACGCAATTTAACGGCTGCGTCGATCGTTTGTGCGCCGCCCAGATAATCGTCCATATAGAAATCTGTTGTGACGGCAGAGCTGGCGTCCGGAAATAATGGTCTCATATCGTCGGCCAATTTTTTTAAACACGCTGTAGCTAAATAAGACGCTGGACTTGTTCCGTACGTTACCGTGTTAAGTCGGTATTCCTTTACTTCGTCCTCTGGGTTCGCTCTCCACAACACGCGTTGAAAATCGCGGTCTTTTTTGGCGATCCAAATTTGCCGATACATTTTCTCGATGTCAGCGGACATTGCGTATTTATGTGTGCGAAAACGAGTTATGATACTAATTAGGTCATCTTGAATTGACGGTCCTTTTAATAGGATGTCATTAAGGCTCTTCCCGGTATCCGTTATACACGACGCGTCAAATACAACCCGCAGCTTTGTTGTTAAACTGTTATCGCGTAACACTGCGTGATGCGGTATATAATAAACAGGTTTATTGTTTTCGTCGTTATCCCGAACTTGTTCCATATGACCTAATTTTACGTATTCATTTATGAACTGTACGTAGGCTTCCTTTAATTTCGGGTTAATACGTAATCTGTTTTCAGTAGACATAAATCGTTTTAATGCGACTGCTTTCGAATTACCTAATTCATTTGGATTTTCTTTGAAGGGCAGCTGCACAATGAACCTTCCGTCTGCGCCTTTGGTTACACTTTTTTCGAAATGTTCTATACATTGTTTTTCTTCGAGGCTGAAACATTCCACTTTCCCTAACTCTTCTAGATGCCAAAATTTGGAAATTTGTTTTTCTATTTGTCGACAACAATCGCTTGGTAGTGTCTGCGCGACAAATGTATGCCCTGAATTACTCGAGTGCTGTTGTACTGATCCTGCGACCACCCATCCAAAAGCAGTTTCCTGGTAAACGAGTCCGTTTGCCGTCGGTTTATACTGACCAGAACGAAGTGTATCAAAAAATACTTCGGCTCCCAAAAGCAAATCAATTTCTCCCGGCGTCGCGTACGTCGGATCGGCAAACTCTATATACTCCGGTACGGTGTACGAGTTGCTGACGTGTATCGGACTGGTCGGTAATTTGGATGTTATTTTTGGCAATGTCATAAAGTTGATTGACCTCGTATACTCGTTTGTACGCGCCCGCACTTCTGCCGTGACTACGTGCGATACCCGGCATTCGGCGGCGTTCACACCAGAAATAGCGCAATCAAATTTGTGTTTCGCGAGTCGTAATTTGCATACTAAATTATTAGTGATGAAATTGCCCTGAGAAGCAGAATCGAGTAATGCTCGTGCAAAAAATGGTTCGTTTGTACTGCTAAAAATTTTTATTATTGCCGTGGATAATAAAACCTTTGCACCCGGTGCGCTAGCAGCTGCGTGCGCACTTATTGACGTAGGTGGTACGGTTTCCGCGTTTTGTTCGGAAACGTTTTCGTGTAACAGCGTGTTGTGGTGTTCTCCACATTTTCGACACCCTTTCGCCTTGCACTTATTATCTTTATGTTTTGATAAACAATTAATACACAATTTTAATTTTGTAACATTTTCTCGACGCTGTTTCACTGCGAGATCTAAAAATTGTTTGCATTTATAAATAGCGTGCGGCTCTTTGCAAATGTAACATTTGAATTTTACTGTTGCGGCGTGTGTAAACAATGTTTTATTTTTATTCTTTATCTTGTTATCTCTTATCGGCATTTGCGACGGTCCGTTTGTGGTTTTATTTAAACTTTGCGCGTTTTCAATCGATTCTAAGACTTGAAATCGGCTCTTTAAAAACGCAATTAATTCTTCGACCTTTGGGACTTCTGTTTTAGGAGCTTGTGTTTCCCATTCACGTAAGGTAGTATTGTCGAGCTTTGTTGAGATAACGTGTAACAACATCGGACCCCATGACATAGGTGTGTATCCGATCGCTTCTAGTGCCTTTATGTGACCGAACAGCTTGTCGACAAACTGCCGCAACTTTTCTGACGATTCTTCTGTTATTTTTTCTAAGTCGAAAATTGCCTTTATGTGTGCCTGCACCATAATCCGTTTATTATTGAATCGCTCGTTTAAACACTCCCATGCAATTTGATAGTTGTTTGCGGAAGTTTCAAAACATTTTACGACTTCAGCTGCGTCTCCAGACAGTGCGGCTTTTAAGTAAAACAACTTTTGAACTTCCTGAACGTTCTCATTTGAGTGTACCATTATTGTGAATATATCTTTAAACGCTGACCAATCTTTATAGTTACCACTAAACTCGGGTATTTTTAACGGTGCTAGCTTTACTATTGATGCTAGATGATTGCAGCTGTTTGTGCTTCCCTGTACTTCGCCATTACTGTTATTACTTATATTTGGGTTTGCGTTGTGACCGGTTTTAATTAGTATTTTTTCGCTGTCTGCGATGGCTTGAAAGTACATATCTTCAAATTCAAACCGATAGTTTTCTTCGGCTGTAGCTTGTGCCTCGTCTTCGACCTTGATTTCTATGGCGGACTGTATTTTTTGAAATTCATCCCAACATTCTTCGATTTTTTGTTTTCGTACTCGGATTTGCGATACGTCTCCGTCATCCGTGAAATCTTGTAAGAATTTTAGGAATTTTGTGATACGGCCTTTTATTGCACCCCTCCGTATAGTTAGAGTAGGTACGTCTTCCATATTGTATTCGTAGGTAATTGGTTTGTACCTGAATCGTTATCTTGGCCGTGCTTATCGTACGATTTGCGCTGTTGCACTTGATCGTGCTAATCTATAATTTTTATTGCAACGTTGTATGGCTAATGGCTATGTCATACGTGCGATTGGGAATTCTAGCTTTCTATTATTGGTATAGCTTGCGGGAAAAAGGAAAGGAAAATAATAATGTGACTCTCTTACCTTAAATTCTGCAAGTGCTGCATATCCTCCAATGCTAGTTGACTGATGTGTTTCTAGTGATGAGTGTCCAATGTCGTCCTTGTTCTGCTGTGAGTGTGTTGTCCTGACTTCACTGAACTGATGGAACTGAACTCGAACTGTAAAATGCACTCGAGACACTTTTTGAGTTAACTGTGTGCACCGTTCGGCGTACTGCTGTTTAGTATTTACATAAAATCCGGCTCGAAGGACCAAAAATGTCGGGGCCAAAGAGGATATTAAGTAATTAAAGTCCGTACTTTGGTTTAATAATATTTATTGTTTTTAATCGAATAAACGCGGAATACATGTATAATAATTTTAATGCAATACTACGTAATGTGCCGAACGGTGTCTTTCGTCTGCTAGCTATGACGCTACTAATTTAATGTTCACGTACGGTGCGACAGAGTCGTCCGACCGACGTTTTATCTAAATTATCGATCTACCTGCTGTAGCGATAATATTATTGTATTGGCTCCAACAACATTTTTCCTATCAGAGGACACAGTTATATGGCTGCAGATCAAGTATTTGGTAGGATAGAAAAAGTTCTTCGCAAAAAAGAAATAATTGTGTGTCCTACGCAATACCATGATATTTTCAAACAATTTTGCCAGGTAAAAACCTATGAAAATGATTTTAAAGTGTACAATATAAAAGAAGCATGCAAGTCCATTATAAATCCAAAAGGATTTAAACTAACTGAACAAAAGATGTTGTTGTACGAAAAAGGCAAAAAAACCATTGGTGTTTCACAAAACTATACTGACGATTATGTTTATTTTAAAATTATAAAAAAAAATTCAAGAATTGAATTATTGGGAACATTGGAAATCCTTAAAAAACAAAACCACGTGAAACCCCCAAAACAAAAGGATATAAAAAATTTGATGCGTTTTTTCACAGTACCAACAACCACTTCATTTTATGAAGACATTTTTAAATCACATGAATTTGATTCGATTGAAGACTCAGCTCTTAACGAAGAAGGTGCTTGCATTTATTCAGAAGATACATCTTATTAAAATAAGTAGTTTAATTTATTATTTTATTATAATAAATTGTCATTTATTTTTTATTTCGTTTTATAATATTATATGTTATTATGTATACAATAATATATTGTTAAAAAAAATATAAAGGTTGAAGTTTAAAGATTAAACTATTAGTGTTTTAAAATTTAATAGAATGCAGTTAGTTTATTACTAAAAATGTATATATAATCGTATTTATCTACTTACCTATTTATCAGCATATAGATCAATGAGTACTTTTTGCAATAAGTTATTGTTTTTCACATTTTCAGATTTTAATAATTTATTATTAAAATAACGTTTTATCAAAACGCAATATTTCCAACAATTCTGTCTAAACGTGTTATTTCCGGAAATAACACGTTTTGAAAAAAGTGATTTTTAATTTTGACGAAAAAAACCATTTAAAATGTGAATAAAGATCAATTTTCTTCCATAAATAAGTACAATTCCGTATGTTTTACTCTTAAAGACAAAAATAAAACAGTTAAATGCAAAACTTTAAGAGCTATAAGTCAAAACATAAAAACCGTTTTTATGAAGAACTGTAATTTTGGCAATACCACGTTATGACTTGTCGCCCTTCATTTATAGAAAAAAAAAAACTAAAAAAATTGAAAACTGAAAATGTCCGTAAACGGCTCAAAAAGAGTCATAATATTTTCAAAATTGTATGCTGTATAGGAAATGCTAATATAAACATTCAGTGAAATTTTCATGTATCTACAGTAATTCGTTTTTGAATTACAACAAAATAAGGAAATCGCCACATGAGAAATCGAGTGAATATCCAATGTTGTAAAAAGTTGAATTTCAAACGCTAATAAAAATTTAATTTGACTTTCTTATAGACATTTTTTTTTTAATTTCTTTAATTTGGTGCAAATTACAAACTCCCTGTATGTTCACTGTCCGTCTGTTCGATGGGTTTTATTTGTTCGACCAACTGAAATTATAGGTACACGTTTATAATTGAGATGATAAATTAAATTAATTATGCGGTTTGCAATAGTGGTATTCAACAAGTAAAATTAAAACTTACCATCGATTCTCAGGAATTGAAATATTATTAAGCATATATAGCATAATCTGTGACCCAGCGTATTTGTATACAATTTTTTGCATTTCATCGAACGTGTTTATGTTTTTTTTAATAAAAGGTCGTAGGATCGCCTCAATATTTACACACTTTCAGAGCCTCGCAGAAGTCAATCAATTTTAAAATAAGCGCAAAAAACCTATCTATGGTTAGGTTCGTTCTCAGTAGTCATTACCTCGAGTTGTATATAATATGTTGAATGTTGATGTACTTATTGAACTATAAGAAAAAAAACATCATTGTAAAACCAATAATTTCCCAAAATAATGAGGTAAGAAATGAGTGATATCCCAAAAAAAATACTCCACCGTACTCCGTGTAAAAAAAACGTTAAGTATAAAAAAAAAAGTGGCTCAAAAAGTTGTGACATAACTTTATAAGTAGATATAAGTCTTTGAACTATAGATAGCATTGATGTTAAAATAATCTGCTAAAAAATTGAACTTAGCTTGGTGACTTAAGTTAAAAATTAAGAAATACTATAGGATAATGACTCATTAGCATATAGTATTTTTTAATTTTTGTGATTGAGTACATAATAATAATATAGTCTACTATATATATATATCTAGTGATTGGAATAGGTAGTATAATCAAGTGTTTTAAAGTCGCTAAGTTAAGTTCAATTTTTTACCAGATTATTTTAACATAAATTATATGAGCTATAGTTCAAAGAATTAGCTACCTATACAATTATGAGCGATTGTCGAAAGGTATTAGGCTCGGGTCGAGATCGTACGTTTGGTTCGAGTAATCATTTGTCAATAAGTAATACGTTCTGAATGTCACGAAATTTTTCCAATACTTGATGAGTTAAACTATATTGTAGTCGTTGTGTTATTACATTTTTTTTATTATAATAAGCATATATTTTCTGATGGCTGGTCGTGGGTCATCTACCATAGTAGTATAATTCATATAAGTGGTATAACTCTTATACCCACAGTTGGTCCGTGCAGGGGCTTAGCGTGAAGAGCCGAAAAATGATTATAACTTTAAAGCGACCCTAGTAATATTATCTAATTTTACGAATTTGACAGATAATTTACATAAATGGTGAAAATTGATGGAATGTTTATTTGTGTAAACGTCGATTCCGCGTTTACTTCTGGTACCTATTTTTATGCGCTTAATGTGATTGTTCGGCATGGACCTAACAGCCTTAAATTAATGTTTTCAACGATACCTATTCAGTATAGGTATATAATAGTAATGTCAATATTATGTGTAATTATATGTTCTGATTTTGTTTCCTACAGTCATGTATACGAACGAAGAACCGATAACTGGATGGGTAAACATGATGAAAAGCGTACCTGGCCTATGTTTGGGTGTGGGTTTGGGAGCTATACACGTGGTGTACGTGGATCCGAAAGTTAATGCAATAATCATACCAGCGGATAACGTAGCGAATATGATTATTACTACAGCTCATCATGCGTCCAAACCACGGTAAAATCGTTAGAACACAAAAATATCGATATTTCAATGCATCTATAATATCATATGTTTTTTAACCAGGACTGAGTTTGTTGTTCTGAACGATAAAATTATATACTACACGAAATATTTTTAAGAATCACGACGTATTTATAATATTATGACATTATTTTTTTAGGATTTAATACATTACTTGATAACATTCGTCATTTTTGCAGCTGCTGCATCTCAACGAACAATTTATCGACATTTATTCACACTTAAAATTTACAAATAACATTTATTATTTGACTTCAACAAAACGTCACCACCACCAACACCTTCTTTGTTCGTTTTAATTTTACAGACCGGTATATCCCTCGTCTGTTTTAAATTTGTCAAAACTAAGAAATAGTTTTAAATAAATTCCAACATAAAAAAATCAGTAACATAAGTTATACATTCTGGATATTTTTCTCGATACGTATTCCTTCTTAGATTATATTAGTCCAGTTCAATTTAAATTGGACCTATATTATATGTAATGTTTGACCGATAAAATAATGTTTTATTGTTATTGAGTCAAGGCTACAACATCTATGGCCATCACTCATTAGCCTGAATGTTGTTTTGTAGGTACTTAACTGTGGGGTGGGGTGATGGTTGGTTAGTACACGTGTATCCATATGTAGCAAGGATTTGTCACTAAAACACGGGTGGTCACCCATCCGGGAACTAGTGACACAGCGGCTGATGCTTGACTTCAGAGCACGTTTGTAACTGAAGCCAACCCCCACGTCACACCAGCCCACGTTATAGTTAATTATTTATCATTATTATATTTCATACTAAATTTTAAATACCTGTGCTTTTATTTCATCAGTTCAAATCCTACAATTCCAGTATTCAATCACGTTCCAAACAATATGGCACCATCTTTGACATATGGTCAGGGCTTACATTATATCGTAGAACTTTTATTGGAGAAAAAAATATATTCGGAAAATCAGGTACCTATATACATAACGAAGTATAATTGAACAATAATTAAAATAAAAAATGTTGGATGATTTTCGTAATTATTATTAATTAATTCGTTTTTATGCTGCAGGTCTGGAAACCATATGTGATTTTAACAAGTTCAAAAGTATTGTTTACTTTTTTTTTTTTTTTATACCATTATTTACCGGCATATTTTGTTGATATGTGTTTGTGGATTGTTGGAAAAAAACCAAGGTAAATAATATTACATTTTTAATTACGACTAATGTAAATACGTATTAAGATTTAAAAGTGATAGCCGATGGGCAGATAAAAATAAATTACTCTTGATTATATCTATAATTTGTTAACGTTTGTCAACTATATTTTACATCTCATAAGAATGAAATAATTCCTATGCCTTACGACGTTAAAATTAGTACTGAAATCTTTTAGGCATTATTTTTATTATCTCATAGGACATAGGTTAGGTTAGGTTAGGTACCTGTCTTGTATACATTTGACTTCTTGGTTATTAGTGCTCTTAAAATTTAGGTGATTTGCCCCCTCTCCACCCCAAAGAAGTGAGGAGGGCACTAATCCTCCTAATTTATAATGGAAGATTTATTTTTGCAATATAAACTGTCAAAAATATTTATTATTACCTATTTATTTTCCATGGAATTTGTGAAATATTTGATGTATAGGTACATACGTGTAATGAGTATACAAGAATATCATATATACCGCCAGTAATAACTTAATAAATAATATAATTTACATACATATTTATAACTCGCGATAAAATGATTTACCTACGTAGCTTAGTTTTAATACTGGCGATTACGATTTTTTTTCAAATTAAATATATGATTTAAAAGTATTTACTGTTTCTTAATACCCAATAAATTGTGTGGGGATGGGGTGGGGGGAGGAGGAATTCTACGTTGATCAGTCAGTGTGTCAGTCAGGACACGTTCGATTATATTATTTAGGTATTATTGGCCATCCCGCCCGGCGTTGCCCACTTGCCCGTGAGACACGCCTGTGATTATGCGATCAGTAAATGTTCAGACCCGCCGAGGTACTAGTACGTACTTAATTACGAATGTTTCCTACTTTTCCTAAAATTTTCTTTAAAAAAAACCGTGTCCCGACAGTTACGAACACGAGAAAAAAAGATTCAGCTAAATCGGTCGAGTATAGTTACTGAGATTAGCCGTTTCAAAGTATATAAGTATAAAACTAGTGTCACGTTTATAATAATATAGTAAAAACAGGGCTGGGCAGTATCAAAGATACAATATTGTACCTTGTATCTTTTGAAGTGTCAAGTATCATATTACATTTTATGCTAGTATCACGTATCTTTTTTTGCCAAAAGATACAATATTCTATATTATTATAAACATTTGTACTGAACAATAGTACCGCAAGAAAATTGAATTCGATTTGCAGGACACTCGAAACTCAAATAAAAATCGCGGTAATTGTTGTTGTATGTTTATTTATAATATTAAATTGTATATAATTTCGTCGCCGATTGTGTTTTTACGAAAAACTGTCCAGGCGCAATTGAGCCGAAATGAACAATAATGAAAAAATTTACTGCACTGCAATGTTATAAATTGTAAGGTAATTTTAAAAACATTTAATTACTTATCCACGATATCTATCTAAAGTCATACATAGATACATAAGCACTTAACTGAAATGTTCGTTCTCATAAAATATAAATCCGTTACCTAGGTGTTTCCGCATAATATAAAAAAATTAATTAAAAGTACAAAAAAGCAATTACAGAGTACTATTTGCAGCACTGTTGTACAATTTGGTTCGTTCTGTCTTCCGTGGGACTGTGTCAATACTGTCAGTAAAATAATCATAAAACTTAATAGTTAATGAAATTAATTTGGAAATACAAACGTATCATGTATATCTTGTATCTTTTCTGCATTCACGATGTATCTTGTATATCTAGATACACTAAAAGCTTAAAGCATATTGTATCGTGATACTACTGATACTATTTTTTGAGTATCTTGCCCAACCCTGAGTATAAAGATATAGATATAGATAGTATGTGTTATCTTTTTTTATTATTTATTTATATAAGTGTACGATAAATAATTAAATGGTTGAAAACTTTTAATTACCAATACGTTATCACTTATCATACTTCACTCGAGTTTTCATTGTTTATAATTTATATAGAGTTACTATGTACTTTAACGTTTAACCTGTAATAAAAAAAAACAATTTTTTTTTTTAAACAGGGTAACGAAAATTTACAAAAAAATAGAAGTCATGATGAGAGATATGAGCTATTTCAGTCGCACCGATTTTAAATTTGATGACAAACAATTAAAAGCTCTCATATTGTCACAGAGTGATGAGGATAAAAAATTGTTCAACATGGACGTAACAAATATAAACTGGGAAAAATATTTTTTTAAATCCATACTTGGAATCAAAAGATACATCTTAAAAGACTCCGAAGATCCTAAAGCCGGCCAAAAACGACACCAAACGTAATATTTAATACATAATTAGTACATGATTTAGTCGATAAAGGTGTGTTATAATTATTTACTCATATATTATTTTATGTTTGTTTTGCAGAATTATGATGGCTTATTATACCTTATGGATAATTATTTATGGAAGTCTTTTATATTTATCTTATGTATTATTGAAAATGGTATTTCCTATAAACTAAAACGCGTTTGCAACATTACATTATATTATATTATATAGTATTTAGTATAAGATTAACTAAATTTAAAAAAAAATACCTATATTACATTTTAATTGTATTTTAGTAATTAATTAAATGTTGTGTTAATTGAATAGCAATTATTTATCTTTTATCTTATCTAGATAAATAGTTTTAAGTTATCTAAACAATTATCTAAGGTACAAATTTCACTTATTTAGATAAATATTGATCTTGATGAATTCGTCAGTAAAAAAAGATAAAATATAAATTTTATTGTCTTTGAAAAATAGTCCGTACATCGTTATATTGTAGTCCCACGAAAAAAATACAGTATACTTTTATGTTGGTAATAATAATAATTATTTAACACCTATATTATTCGTATCTAAAATATTAATAATAAGGTCTTCGTAAGGGACTCGGTGGTCAAATATAGGTAATCGTATTATTATGATGTGTTTGTGACTCTCGTGCTAATGTAAATTCTCCCGATGGTAAACTCTCGCGGGATTAGTCCAATACTACCCGACTGGAACATATAAGCTCTCCCGAATCTACTTCAGTACTACCAGAGGTTAAAGTGGGGGGGGGGTGGACGCAGGAGGACTAGGTCCCCTACCTCTGACGACGGTTAAAGAGCGTCCCTTTTAACAAATTAGGATAGATTAGACATTAGACATTATTATACATAAAATTATATATGGAACGCTTAAAACTATATGGAGACATTAGTCCCCTCTGGAATTTTTTCTCACTTTAACCCCTGAGTACCACCCGACTGGAGCACGTAAAATCTCTCCCGGGTCTACTTTAGTATATTACTCTAAGCTATGGGAACACGGGGCCTCCATGATTGGTATAACTACTAATAACGTCTTCTTACTATTGCCACTACATTATGCGAAGAAATATGTGGCTGCAGAAATCAAACAAATTGGAATATTATATATTATTATAATAAAATGAAATAAAAGTAACAGTATAAACAAAAAACACATATTATTGGTACTATAATAAACGTGAAAAATACCTCGATTACGGATGGTACAGAATCAACTTTAAGTTTTTGTGACTAAGCCCACTTCTTCTTCTTACCTCTTTGGGAAATCTATGTAACGTAATTATTTTATGGATCCTGAGTACTTAGATGTTAAGACAAATCGACTTGACAATGGTAATAATGATAATAGTTATAATGAAAAAAAATGCAATGTTTATTAAGAAAACATACAATGTAAAATAATACTGATGAACAATATATTGTACTGTACAGGGTGATTCACAAAAAAAGTAAATTATATAAAAACAATAATATAAATAAAAATCAATGTTGCTGTGAGCAATAATATTATAGTAATATAGGATTTATGATATAAAATTCAAAATGATAATCACAATCTCTGCAGTGTATAGTCAATTCATAGGGTATCAAAAACATTTAAAACAACTCGAGAGATCACACATATTTTCCTTCAAGTATAAACATTAAGTTGAGAGTTTACCACCGGGAAAGTTTACTAGTCTTAAAAGGGAGAGCTTACCACCACCCCTGCAGTCCCCAATGGTAATGGAAAAAATTAATAGGATTGACGAAGTTAGCTACATTTACATAAATTACAGGCGATGGGAAAATATTTTGAAATTTATCGTCAGCGATCAGGTTCCTTCTCAAGAATCTAGGGAATTGATTTTTAAGTTGGTTTGTTTTTATTTTTCTCGCAATTACCACGAATAATACACTATTATAATTATTGGATAATAAACATTATTTGTGTTGCGGTCCGTACACTTAACTGCAGCAACGTTACGAGTGCACGTATCGACCGGTGGTGCTAGTTCCCGGATGGGTTACCACCCGGGATTTTCAACAACAAATAAAAACAAAAACAGCTAATGGTCATAATTGCCCTGCTAGCTAAAGCTCGATATAAAAAAAATCGGGGGTTCATAGTAGATTGGTAATCGTCAATAATACCATACCTCCGCAAATTTGTATTAGTGCTTCCAAGTTTCCAACCTAGGACAGGGCTATTATATTATTATGTAATTTTACGATTATGAAAAAATAATAATACAAGTAGGTAGATAAAGATATGTACCAGTTACGGTATATTCTATAATTACCGTGGCATGGTCTTTTCGGTAACAACGGTAATCACCGATTCATGGTATACCGGAGTTTATTAAACGAATCACGGACATTTCCCCCCCCCCCCCCCCCCCGATATATATTTGATGCTGACATATCCCCCAATTTTTTAACAGGAGCCTTGTATTACATTTTTACACTTTTTGGCACAACAGATAAAACTTTATTGGTATTTCTAGAAAAAAACTAAAAAAATTTAAAACTGAAAATGTCCGTAAACAGTTCAAAAAGAGTCAAAGTATTTTCAAAATTGTATGGTATATAGAAAATGGAAATATGAGCGTCCAGTCAAATTTTCATACATATACAGTTATTCGTTTTTGAATTACAACAAAATAAGGAAATCGCTACATGAAAAATCGAGTGAATATCCAATGTTGTAAAAATTTGAATCTCAAACGCTCCTAAAATTTTAATATGACTTTCTTATACAATTTTTTATTTTTTGATAAAGGTAGATAATCTTATAAGGAATCTTGTATTACATTTTATATAATCTTAGATTTAAAAAGAAACAATTTTACCCAATGCAATTCAAATTTGTTTATTTTACGGATTATTCTGGAGCCGGTAATCTAAGAGATAAGCAAAAGTGAATATTATTTTTGTTCGACATTAAAAATCAGCATGATAAAATTAACTAATTAATATATTGATGTTAAATTAGATCGGAAATGTGTAACGTTTTTTCTTCTCTACTCACAGATACACTATACACATTATGGTAACGTAGTAGGTACGCGTATTCGACGTATTTATGTATTATCTTGGAAACAACTCAGACTTGACCAAATCACTCGTTTGCTTTTCACTACAACCAGCAATCATCCGGACATAAAAATATGTAATTATATACTGCAGTCTTTGAATATTTTATTGTAATGACTAATGGTGTATGATTTCGATTCAATGCTAAATTATCACACGCGAATAACACGGATAACATAATTATTATCGATATAAAACGCTGTATATTACAATCATTACGCGGGTAGGATTACCTAGGTTACAATAGGTAGGTGTTATTTTTGTTTTGATAAAATTCTATCACCTACGTTTAAAAATGAAAACGCATGGTTCAAAGTCACCGTGAGTGTGTATAGTACAGAAGTGAGTCTGATATTTACAATTTACATACAGACTTGATTATAATATTATATTATACTAAGTTTATATAGCTATAATTGTACACACCGTAGGTGTATATTATAGTACCTATGTACAATTATCGACGTCGGATTGAGGGCCAATTTAGTAATTTATTATTATACCTTTTTTTATTTTTGCACGTTTACAGTGTGTTTCCTTTTAAAGGTAACACTAAATAATTCTGTCCAGTGACATCGGATTAGTATGAGGTTTTCAGGAGGGGATAGGGAATACATAAATACACATATCTTAAGGGGATTGGAAGCGGCGATTTTCTGTCTTTATCTAACACACGTGGAACATAGGATTATAGACGTGTTCTATGTCCAACGTACCGATTAATCTAATGAAGCGATAAGAATTCTGAAAACAGATTTGAATTTGTCGTCAAGTCTACTTGAGATCGACTTTCCCACATTTTTGATATTGTCCCACCAAAATCATAAAAATGATATATTATAAAAAGTACTTAAAAAATTTACAAATTTCAACTTTTGGAGAAGTTTAAATCAAAAAATCAAAAATGTGGGAAAGTCGATCTCAAGTAGACTTGACGACAAATTCAAATCTGTTTTCAGAATTCTTATCGCTTCATTAGATTAATCGGTACGTTGGACATAGAACACGTCTATAATCCTATGTTCCACGTGTGTTAGATAAAGACAGAAAATCGCCGCTTCCAATCCCCTTAATGATTTTTACATTTTTAGACCTTTCCGTGTGCGCATGCGCAATACAATTTGCATTTTTTTAAACGGCAACAGGTGTTTTGAATACCAAATTCGGATAGACCGAATTTTTTTACGTCGATTTGGTCCTTTTTACCATAGCTCTAAAATCAAAATTGACTAAATGGCAACCAGTCAAGGTTTCGATTAAAATTATTGAATTTTTCACCAATCATACTAGAATTTTATGAATTATTATGAAATTGTATTTATTATTTTTATATCCGTAGGTTTGCAGATATTATTAAATCATTTAAATTTAATTTTGAGGAATTAATTAACCTCACAGCGTAAATCTATCCAAATAAATAATAGAAATGATTGAAATTGTAAAAAAATTGTGTTAATTAGTTTAATCTTCACTTACTTAGTAATTGAACTAACATTTACGTCTAATTGACGGTCTATCCGAATTTTGTATTCAAAACACCTGTTGCCGTTTAAAAAAATGCAAGTTGTATTGCAGATGCACACATGGAAAGATCTAAAAATGTAAAAATCATTAAGAAATGTGTATTTATGTATTCCCTATCCCCTCCTGAAAACCTCATACTAATCCGATGTCATGAATTAATCAATGAATTATTTAGTGTTACCTTTAAAAGGAAACACACTGTATATAGTAGAGATGTTCTGAGTAGAAAATCTGGTATAAAGCCGGGTACCGAGTACTGGCCGAGTAAAATTTATAGCACTAACCGGGTATCGAGTATTGGCCGAGTAAAAATTTTAACACTAACCGGGTATCGAGTATAGGCCGAGTAGAACTGTAAATACAAAATTTGTATTATACTACTATCAAAGTGTTAAGTATCAAATTTATAAACATTAGACAGAAAACACTAGATTTATTTTTGTAATTTGTAGATGAAAAACATGATTTGCTTATAATTATCTGGCTATTGTAATTCGGTTCAGTTATTTCAATATGTACCAAAATAAATTATAATTTATCACCCTACAATTTTAGATTT